CATAATGAGAATTTTTTAAATAATCAATTTCCATGAAATAAATAAATAAATATATAAGAAATAAATTTATTTAATAATTACAAAGTACTTCTATCAAATTTTAAAATTATAATAATATCATATATTTCACTCTAAAATATAACATAAATAATCTGATATTACTCGAATAGGAATTACAAATACCAAATGTATTTTACTTTCACCTTACTGTTCAATTATTTTTTGTTTCAAGTTGTAATTTTCGAGAATTTTCTTTCTTTTAGAGTTAGAAATATTTCTCCACAAGAATTCTCTTTTAAGATACATTCATCTTTCTCATTTTCAGAAATATTTTCAAATGTTTATAACAAATTTCAAAAAATGTATACTTCCATAATATATCATCTGCGTGAAATCGAAAAATCGAAATGTAAACAAATCTTATTACAATATATGCTTCATTTACTTTATGTAATCACGATGAAAAAATTTTAGAAGCAATTCTAAAATTTTAAATGACTTCACCACCAACTTCTATATATTATACCTTAAATTTTTTTAGTATATTTCTTAGATAATGTAAAATCAAGTTCGTGACATAAGATTAATGTTCGTTATACATATACTCTGTTTATTGATATATTTTTTCGGTAAATAATAAGAAATTTTCTTTTCATATCATATTATCATCTAACAAAGCTATATACTTTATTATTCATACTACTTATTATTGATACAATAAAGATTGCAGAGATAGAATTTTTTGAACTATAAACAAAGAAGAATACAGGTATTTTTCTCTTTATATACTGATGTTGGATATATTTGTTGGTATACATTTTCTGGAGTAAAAATATTCTCTAAAAAATAAAATAGACTTGAATGAATATTCAATTTATTTATTTCAATTCAAATTTTATTGGATATTTAGTAAATGAAAAAAACATTGAATTCAATATTTGTAATTTCATTCGTGTTGACTAAACATAAAACAAATGTACATATCATGAATACATTATATAAAAAATATGATCGTCAAATATGGTATCTAAGATTTGTATAAGTTTGATATACTACGTAAATAGATCTAGATTTTGACTAATCGAATGATAGATCTAGACATGACTTAAGTAAAATAATAAGTAGACTTAAGTAAAATAAAATCATGTCTTATACATCAAAAATTAATATTTTTGTTAGAATATACAAAAATTTAATAAGACTGATTGCATAATGTATCCTCAACCATAATGTCGAGTTAGAATTATGAAAGTTACCATTACGGATTGAAAGATTTATTGGTTTATTCAATAGTAATAAATTCATTTTTTAAAAGTTCTATGTATAAAATGCAAAGCATGTCTCAAGCAATGTGTACATAATGTTATGTCACGATCAAGCTTGAAACAATGTGAATTTTTTTTGGTTTTTTGGGTTGTTTCACATTGCTGATTTGATTTAATTCTCAAAAAATGATTATATGAAATGGTTTAATCAAATTTTATAATGTAAATTAATATATAATTTATAAAAAATTGGTTACATTTAAGATTTTTTAAACTGTATTTTATGATAAATTTTCAGATGGCGTTTAAAAAACGTGTTAATTTCATCAGTAATAATGCATATGATCTGAATACTGTAAAACAAAGGAAATCACATAATCAAGTAATGCAAATAATATTGATGTCATAAAAAAAATTGGGTTTTTTTTTAAAGAATACTTAAAAAATAAATGAATTTCAATGAACTTGATAAAGAAGTAGTTCAAATGATAAATTTCACTTTAAATAAGTAAAAGCATATCGCATTTTCTCCAAAAAACTTTACATTTTTAGAAATGATTTTAAATCAAGAGAAGTGAAGTTCTACATCAAGTTAATTCAGTGTAGATTTTATTCAGTTAAAATTATGCACTTTTTTATCCATGATTGTTACGAATAAATTTTATTGGAAATTATTTGATTTTTGTATTTATATACCTGTTCTTGACTAATGAATTTTTTTAGGCCCTACCTGATCTGCTCCATCGCAGACATCCACCTTCGGAACATCTCACAGGCTTCCGCAAGTGATAATTACAGGTTCTTTATCACAAGTACAGAAATCGAAATGGTTGGGAATGGATGGATAGAAGGATGCACGAAAGAGGGGTCGAACACGAAAGTCTTGTCTCATGGTTTATCGAGGTCCACAAAAAGGATACATCTCTTTTCTAACGCCAAGATTGAGGTTATATAGTTCACATCGATCAATCACGGCCTTCGCAAAATGTTGTAAGTTCGAGTCAAAAAACAATTTCATATATTTTTAATAAATTTTTAATAAATTTTTATACACACACATATATGAATATATCATAAAAAAAGATATTTACATGAATTAAAACAAAAATTCTTTTTAGTGAAAAAAAATTCAATCCAGTTTTTGATCATAAAGAGTAATTTACTTACTTACATGTTTAATGAGGTTTTCGTGTAGAATTTGGCATTATTTTGATTCTGAAATTTCTTAAGGAATTTAAATGTTGAAATTAATTTATTTGATATTTGAATTTTTTTCATACAAGTATTGTATTGGAAAAGAAATATCATCAGAAATTAGAAATAAGTCAAATTGGATATATTCTTGATATCATTAAAAAAAAAATCAGGCGAATTTTAGGTGATAAAATTTCATTTTTTTGGAATAGATTTGTCTTTAAAACTAACTAGTCTTAATATTCGATTTCCAATCTTCAATAATTTATATATTTAAAATCACAATTTATTTATTCTAGTTAATACGTTGTTTGCAGTGTTATATTATCTCTATGTCATGGACATAGACAAGAAGGTTCGGATTCTACCCTGAAAGAAGCCGTGGAAGGGAAGTTATAGTCAGTTTAAGGTATTTGATAATTCCTGCACAACATTCTGCTATAATGCCGTAAGATATTTTATGAGTAAAGGAGGGAGATGGTATTGAAATATCGGAAAAGCATGCCGCAAAATTATGGAGTTATTTTCTTGTCGGGGAAAAAATTTTCATGATCGACATTTGATCTAAAAATCTCGGGTTTTGGATACTAGAAGAGGATTTTTTACATTTATGGATTCAACCATATTTTTGATTATGGACCCTTTCAGTTACTTGCGGTCAAAGAAAAGAATAGAATGGGAGAGGATTTTCTTGTGCGATCCGCTGACTTTTATCCAATTATTTAGATTTACAGACCGACAGAATTATTGAAGCAATTCGAGAGATTCTTGAAACCCGCAATTGTTCATTGAGTAAAAAATGCCATGAAATCCAACTCGGAACAGCGGAAGCAGAGGAGTTTTGACTAGGTTATACTGCTGGATTCAATTATATTGCTGGCACTCATAGGGATATCCCTTCGTAAAACTTTCGTGAAGATTTCTGGAAATATAAAACTGGAAAGACGTGTATCCAGGTAGAGGGACACATACTCTGCAGACAGCCAACCAGAGCATGTAAATGGTTACACCCGGATCGCAATTGAGGATGAATAGAAGGTCAGCATATTGACACGTAGTCAAATTGGACGGCGGATTTGATATATTGTCACCATGAGAGATCACGGTTGACAAACATTCTCACATATAGGAAAGAAAGCTCGAAAGCGCCCTGTAATTACTTGAAAGATTAGATGGACGTAATCTATTATGAAGCTAATAAGCGCATTTAGCGCCTTTAAGCGCATTCTCTCGGGCTCTTTTTCAAACATGTCACGTCGACTTATTACAGGACTCTGTTCATGACGATGAGTGTGCCGAAGATATATGATCACAGTAACATGAAATTGTAGACAAGACCTTGTGCGAAGAAAAACACTGAGAATTAACCGTAGCTTACAAGTTCCATGTTCATTCGATTTTAGAAACACGCTTACCAGTAATCACGAATTTAATCATCTCGAAAATGTAACTCTCTAATTACCCGTTCCGCCAGTGGAACACTTAAAGCGTTATTATCGCACAGAGGTTGGACTCGATACAAAACGAGGGCCAAGTAATTTCGAACACTGACTGAGCAAGTCACTTAGTCGTGCATTAACTCCCTCGCTTGGATCGCAAATCCTGTAATTAATTTGGGCTCCGCTAATCTGTGTTTCTTTTGCATTTGCTTTAGTCTAGAGCCGTGAGGGTGTGAGTCATCGACGTCTAGGTTTTCGCTGTTTCGTTTAGCGGATAACATCGATTACCGTTTCATGAGCATCCACGTAAGCCACGCTCAAATCCGTGCTACTTGAACGATGACAGTATCAGCAGTTTGTGTTTCTTCCGCCTTCAATTCAGCACCAATTCGCAGGCGAAGAAGCACAATTTGTCGTTGAAAATTTGTGGAGTTGTAGATCTCATATGTGCGATCCGAACGATGTAAGAAAAATCGATGAAATCAACCAAAATCTCCAGGAATTGCAAAGATTCTGTGAGTTGGAGAGGCGCAGAACACAGGCTTCGCTTCAGTGTGTTTTCTTTCGGTCATGCGCTTCCGTACTCCAAGCGCACCGCCGACCTAATCCGCGCATGAGCTTCCTGGATTACCGGCGCCGGGATCTAATCCCGGCCAGACATAACTTCCGGGAGTCTTTATCGTCTACGACAGTAATTTTGTCGCATTAGCGTCTATGCTCTATGTCTGCGCTCTATGTCTATGCTCTATTCTTCGTAGTACAACCGTGAGAAGGAAGGGAAACTGTATGCCGGGAACTGCCGGACTGATTCAGATCCCCGAGATCAACACGTGTCAGGTCACGAGTGGATGATATTTGAAATAACATGAAACACGGCTTGCAGTGACAGTTGCCGATCCTTTGAATTCTCCTCAATCATCAATCGATGCCTGCCTCGCGGATCCCGCCGCCGGCCGGTAAAACCCCACGGCCGGCTCGGCGGCGAGAAGATGGGAGCTGGATGACGGCGAATGAGCAGCTGCCAGCTGGCTGACGTCCTCAAGAGGACCTCGAGCCTCGTTCATAACCGCTCAGCCCAGCGCCAAGTTCTCACTTTCACAATTCACTTTTTCGGTGGAGATCGGAGCTCTCGAGATTTGAAGGAGTTTGAACGAGAGACAGGGAGAGAGAGAGAGACCGAGCTTCCCGCCTCGATTCGTTTGTCTAGCACCTATCAGTATTCAGCCAGGCGCAGTTCATTGCTCGGGCGTTTGTGAGGTTTAGCGATGGCTCGTACTAAGCAGACAGCGCGTAAGTCGACAGGAGGAAAAGCTCCCCGTAAGCAGCTCGCAACCAAGGTTCGTGACTACATGCTCTTCTTTTTGCTCTCGACGGAGTGGACGCCTTCTGGCGTTTTCTTTCGCTTCGATGATGAGATTTCTATTGTCTTACACGCAAACAACGTCACTACCTGTGTGTATAGACATAACTTGAAGCTTTGGCGGGGTTTGATCACGTAGTTTTTCTTGTCTTCTTTGCTCTCTGGAATTCTTGGACCTGGAGGGCGTGATTTGTTTCAGGAATAGTGCCTGCTTTCCACGGTTTAGTTTCAGTCTAGTGGTTCCCCTCTTGGAGCCATGCCTATCTTGTTCTGATTCGTTGTTCTTTTCTCAGTCTCTGATTATCTATTGAAAGTGTCGATTTCGTTTCTTGGGGATCCCAGCTTCCTGTACAGCCAATCGCCTTGTAGCCGATATTGAAACTCTAGTGCGGACATTTGAATCATCTTTTATCTCTTCACAGGCTGCGAGGAAATCTGCACCAACAACAGGAGGAGTGAAGAAGCCTCACAGATACAGGCCTGGAACCGTTGCTCTCCGGTAAGAATGATTCTTTACTTTTCGAATTTCTCGTGTGGAATTTTGTTGATGTCCATTCTTGCCTGTCTTCGTCGACAATAATGATCTGTCTGGCTGCAGAGAAATCCGCAAGTACCAAAAGAGCACTGAGCTCCTCATCAGGAAGCTACCCTTCCAGAGACTGGTTCGTGAGATTGCCCAGGACTTCAAGACCGATCTACGTTTCCAGAGTCATGCAGTTCTTGCTTTACAGGAGGCTGCCGAAGCTTATCTCGTTGGTCTTTTCGAAGACACCAACTTGTGTGCCATTCACGCGAAGCGCGTGACGATAATGCCCAAGGATATTCAGCTGGCTAGGCGTATCCGCGGAGAGAGGGCTTAGGGTTCACTAGAGAATTGCAGAATTTTGTACAGTGGAAATCGTGAGGTTTTCTCCTTGGCCCCAATGCGACATCATTACTTTGCATGCATTTGGAGGCATGTCCGGATGGATCGTTCTGTGCGGCAGATTAGGTCATTCTACCTACTGTTTAGTCGCTGATGTTTTAGTAGACTGCTAGCTCAATGGAAATTGGGACAATCTCATACTACGGTGGGATCAATCGAAAATAGTTCGTGCCCGAAGACATCGTGATTTTTGTATGTACATAATAAGTAAAGGATAATAAATCCTGACAATTATACATCAATTCCACGCATTTCAAATTCATTCAAATTGCAAACAATGTTACTTGAATGAAATATCTGACAGATGATCGTCAAAAGACACGGGGCATATGACGTTCAATCTTGTCTTGACCTCATCGGTATCAGTACAAAAGAATAAAGTTCTAACATGAATGCCATCACATAACCTTTATATATGAACATCTTGACTACGCTACAATCGGTCCACACATTCTGAACGTTGAAATCATTTGTACAACACATTGTGTGCACGTAAATCAAATACCACGTCAATTCAACTGTCCTTTTCACTCTTCTACTCCACTACACTTCACCTCAGTAATATATCCATAGTATCACTTCCACAGCCCTAATCCTCAGTTAATTCCCAGCACTAAGGCACAAAACCAATGAACATGCGCCACATACCGAACTTATATCTTTGACCATCGTCTCGGTCAAAACTGCCAAACTTGAATAGTACGCAAGCGGAAATGCAGCCAGCTAAAACTTCAAATGCAAGCCACCTCTGCAACAGCGTGGATCGTCACCATCTTAAAAACTCACACAATTTGAAACTTGTTTGTAGATAAGATTTTATTTAATGCTTCGTCAGCATATCTGACCAGTGAATACACCAAAGCTCCAGGTTTAGTCTCCAAGTTTAGCATAATCGGTCTTGACTGATTGTGCTAAGGATAGTGGCTACGAATACAGGTATGTAAACACTCGGTGAGCCAAATCATGCGCCCATGTAAGTACTCCAGGATGGCAAATACCGTGGTTGGCACCTTCGATAAACTTGCGCCCAGCAGAAGATTCCCAATATTTTTGATTAAACGAGGCTCTTTATGCCCGCCTGACGTCCCAAAAACTTACTCAAGCTCTGAGGATGAACGCCACGGTACAAACTTGGCTTCCCTCGCTGCCTCCGAATCGGAAAGTTGGATAAGTACGTACATGGTCAATGTACTCCAGTACAGGGCCCTCCTCCACTGTTGGCGATTGCCAGTTATTAGACGAGGTGTATGAATCCTTCTCTTCCCTGGTGCTTGTTCCGTTAGCTCTCAAACTTTGAATAAAAGCGTTCACTTCTTCAACAAGTTCATTTTTCGTGTTGTTACAGGACGTGACCACCTGTCATTGCACGATAAGAAGACATCACATTTAGTCAAAAGCTCTAACTCTACTGTCAAACTTTTCACTAAAGAATGGATTAACCAAGTTCCGCCATGCAAAAGGATGACAGTGGAATCACCGACAACGTTCACACCCATAACGTACCAAGACACCTCCGGGTTCCAGAAGTTTCGTAATTGACCTCCAGTACAGAATCCTTTGAAAGTGAAACATTTTCCATAAGTCGGATGTTTAGTACCACCAGTTGAGGTTGTCCCGGGAGAGAAAATGAGCTCAACTTCCATAGCATGCAATATCTTGAAATTCCTTAATGACAATTCTCACTGGAAATAGCGGGAACAAAGATTTGAAGTCGAAGCTACTGAATCCTGAAAATTCAAGAAAAAAACCACAAATAAAGCATACTTGTGTGCAGCTCCATCTGGGTGTAAACCAACTGCATCTAGTGTGCCCTTGTCCGTAATAAGCTTAAATTTTCTCTCCAGTTTAGTCTCGAGCACGTCATCAACCTGCAGAACGCGAAGGACAGTAACTCTCAACAACGAAAGGACGACTATGACAACTTATTCCTCGAAATCAACACTAACATTTGACATTAAACTAGTGGGCCTGTCAGCTGCGTATTGATGAACAATACGAGTTTCCATATTGAACCAACATGCACAGGTCTTGAAAGATACCACAAATGTGATGTTTGCGAGTCCTTCCCGCTCCGCTACTGCTTGAGCAAGTTCTATTGCGCCGTCACTGTAATCGCTTCCAGTTAGGTCCGTGAACCTGCCGAGACAGTAAAGAGTCATTTCCGGATCCCATATTAACAAGATACAAACGATCTGAACAGAAAGTCTTTCCCAAATTCTGTGACCCTAAGGTCTTGCATCCATTTTACTTCCTACCATGCATGGCACAAGGAGGTCTCTTTAATGTTAAAGAACTACAAAGCAACCAAGTGCATTTCGCTGAAAGGTAAAAAGACACACCCATGCTTGGACAGGGCATGAAGCAGAACTCCATTGCCAGTGCCTAGGTCCAGAACGCTCCAGCTCGCGAGCTCTTCTGTCACGTTTCCTTCGCTTAGTCCTCTATCTGCCAATGCAAGACCATTCCCAGAACCTGCAGGAAGACCTGCTGAGACTGCCAAACAAACTCTTGCAGTCCATGAAGCCATAGTCTCCATAACGCCTTCACCAAACCTAAACAGGAAATTCTTACATATGAGAAAAGCACCAAATTCTTAAATAAGAGAAAAAAACACGAAATTCTTTAATGCAAAAGAAAACACGAGATGTTTGACATTTTACAATGTTTTGATTGGAACATAAAAGAAGTAAACAGCATAGCCTGAAGAAAAATCAACACTGTTAACAGCAACTGAATCGAAACATACACAGTACATACTCATAGACTGAGATGGAAAGGGCAAAGACAAAGAGGATCCCTTCCATACTTCGACCATAATTGACCATACTTCGATACTTGACCATTTCTAGCAGTCGAGCTCGAAAAACTTCGGACTTTTTCAAAGATGGAAAAAGTCCGGGCTCAATCCAAAATTCGAAGTATTTAGACATAGTGGCAATATACGTCTATACAATTTCTAAACCCACAATACACAAATATAACCGGGAGATAAAATCGTACACACCAAACTTCTCCAGCGTCACCATGCTCGTGGAAGTTAGCAAGCTCCTCGGCATATGCTGAGTCCCAGTGACTTTGCAGGCCTAGCATCGAGTGCTCTACCTCAACATCTGGTTCTTCTTTGTCCGAACTGCTCTCCAACATGTTGAAATTGTTAACTCAGCTAAGTGACTAAATCTCATAAAAGAGAGACACAAAGAAAACTGCAAACAACGTCACGAACACTTTGGAGGTCGAAGCACTCTGTATGAGCTTGTCTGTTAGTTCTCCATTCAACTGGCATGTTATCCTAGAAAATTTAACTTCTACCATAAAATGTCTATAGAGGAAATTTAGTGCGCAGTCAACTGATTGTGCACCGATTAATCACAAGTGGCTCACATATAATTGAAACAATTGAATTTGTGGCTAGAGAATGAGCGCAAAAAACGACTGCTAGCGGCAAGGTCCCCTCAGAATGTAGCTTGAAAAATAAAACCAAAAGGTTTTTGCAAAAATTCACCATCATTAAATGCTCAGAAGTCGAAGAACTAGCTGCTACTTAGGTTACAAATATTTTTTCTCACACCTGTAATCTAAAGGACGAAAATTAGCTGCAGCTAAAGCGTCAACGGCATCCGATTGACGCGTATCATCCCCGTCCAGCGTGCTTCCGTATTCACTTTTCACCGACCATGAATCAGCAGCCAGAGATCGCTCATCGTCGGAATAATGAGATGCGGCATCCACATCACCTTGCCGAGTGTGGGCGTGGTCAGGCTCCTCAGGAGGCCAACGTATTCCCGCCATCCTTCCCAGACACACAACTCCTCAGTACCTAATTTCTGCACAGAAGTGGATCCACCACCCTCAACAACGACACGCAAAACACTCTCCGCATTTCAAACAAATCGCATCGCGCTAAGAGGTTCGGCCCTAGGCTGCAGAGCAGTCTAGGCAAGCAAAGAGATCGTGTCCTCAAACATCCCAAAAAATTTCGGACCCATGCCTCAATTCCAGTAATACGCAAGCGTCCACGCCACAAAGGCAGCGATAGGATCGGCTCGGTACCCGTATTACTGCACTCCAAGCTCCAGGGAGACAAAAATCGTCGAAACAAAAACGATGGTCCCTCGCGCGCTGCGTCGTCTGCTACTAAGACTGCTGCCTGTCATGCAGGACTGGCGATGCCCATCGTGTCAGCTGGAAAAACAGCGTCAGCGACGCCAAGGCAATTGGGGCCACCTCGAAGGCGAGATGCGATGCGGAAAGGGAAGTGTGAGTCAGTGGAGTGCCAAATGTTTGTACCGACATCGAGAGGACGCTCGGGCGCTGCTGCTGCTGCTGCCGGGGCGGAAACGCTGCACTTCCATCGTCGTCGCCTTGCGCTGTCCCATTCCTGCCCACGCTCCTTTCGCTCCTTTCGCTCTTTCGCCCGACGCGACGACCGTGTCTGTCAGCGTGCCTCTCTGTCTGTGGCTGTCGCTCGCTCTCTCGCTCGCTGTCTGTCAGTCTCTGTCAGTCGGATCTCATCTACGTACTGTACGCTGTTCAGCGCCTCGGCCAAATCCGCCCTCTCCTCACCTTACGCAGTTGATCCCCTCACCAATGTGTCCTGTTCCCGAGGCTGGATCGGTACGCGGTTCTGGACTACTGTAGTGATAGTTAGTGAGGTCATGCTATGGTCTTGGACTGATCCAGCCGACCATCATACGACTCGGGACTTTCCGCCGGCCCACGGACGACAGTGCCGCTCCAGAAGGAGCATAACGGCGTGAGTAGACCATGTGATATCCATTGACATATCTAAAAGCAATGCATTGACTTTGTTTTTTCATCTATATACATATCACTTATTTGCCCATTTCAAGTATAGATTTGGCGTTGCGTAACCACGATATTCTGGGTTACCATGCAGCTCTCTGTTTTGCATGAATACATTTATAACATAAATTCGGAACAATAAATCTACATCTGATTGATTGTAATATTTTCTTGCCGATATTATGATTATAATTCTTATACATCAATTATATACTTTCAGAGGGGTTCATTGTACGGGAGAAAATTTTAGAAATATGTTTACCAGGTTCTCTAAATAAAAAATTCGAGTCTTTATTCACTTGACATTTTACTGGTAGTTGTGTAGAGATATTGACACCAACTTCCACACATTTTTCAGGGATTGCGCCTGCGTTATACTGTTATAAGGGTATGAATGTATCTATTAAAAAATCATTAGTTGATACTGTGAAATAAACAGAACCATATTATGTGATGCTTGTTGGGAGGCTGAAATAAATTACAGACATGGGGACCAGCCACATCCCACCGCTTCGGTTTCATACTTGGAGGACTCGATGTATAATATTCCTTCGTGTTCTCCTTTTCCCGGATTGTATGATGACCGGCGTTTGGACGTGCGAGCCGGTGACGTGCTATGGAATTCCCAGTACAGAGCAGGACGGAAGTGGACGGAAGGGCGAGGGCCAGGCGTTGGGTTGACAGGTTGGTACCGGACCGTAGTCCCGTATTCGACGGGGAGGAAGATGCAGGAGGGCCAGAAAGAGTAGGTTGAAACACACCTACCTATTGTATTCCCGAACTCCCAAGTAACAAGACGTGGTCTTCAAAAAGGTCTAATAGAGAATAAATAGCTCTTGGAGCATCGGCTGATTACAAAATCCTAAATTATTACATTTTGAGAGAAACGTAGAGCGATGTAAACACAAACCAAAAGAAGTTAAGTTAAAGTGGTAATAAGGAGAAAGACTATGAGGCGCTGTAGAAAGAAATAATATCCGATAGATAATATAATAGCAAGGTTGGTTGGGGTTAACTCTCAAATTGAGCTGCAGAAACAGACGAAAAAGGAAAAATAAGTTCGACTTATAGTTTTCAGGAACACATGAGAAAACCATGGTGAAAGACGGATGCAGAGTAGAAATTTAATTCATTTAGTTTAATCTCGACAACCAAAATTGTGAATCTAGGTGTGAGAACACGAAGAAGCATTCGTGGGTTGCTTCCGTAACCAAGGTGTTGGCAACAGAACATGTTCACATTATTTGTTGCTGAAGTATGAGACGTGGCCCTCGATACCGTGGCGCACCACGTTGAAGATAGCCACCAGTATCCAGTTTTGAGGCCCTCGGGTGAAAATTGTGCAATTCCACAATTATCATTGCGTTCGACCGTACCTTGTAACGATTGGATATACATGAAACATGATGAAAACATTTTTTTTTAATCTCTTTATGTACGAGGATAGAGTACAACTACTCAATGCAAGCGGCGGCGCTTTGACCGATGTTGAGAGGTAAGCGCATATAGTCATATCTTGGTTGGTAGAAATTAATGTGTTAAGCATAAGGAATGGACTCCTAATGCAGACTAAGTAAATGCAGCGTGGCGGAAAGTCGGAGTTCGAGTCTGTATGTGAGACCAAACTCCAAAATCGATGAAGAGATAATCAAGGAGAAACCACATTCATAACGGAAAATATGTGGAACTCCAATAAAACTGTTAGCAAATACTACGAAGTCACCAACATAGGATGGATACCAAACGCTGTAGCCAGCGTGTAAGTTGAAAAATTAAGATGCTCCCGCCATCTCCAAGATTTGGTATGCCACAAGGAATAACCATGGATCGTCATAGATCTCTAATTTTTTTTTGCTCCATATTTCATTAAATTAAACTAACCGTGTAGTTATACCATGCTTTGTGCTAATTATATCATATATTATAAAAAAAATATTTTTTATTGTGAAAATGAAACAAAGATGCTTTAGATACTATTCAACGAGATAATATCCCCAAGAATGGAGAAAAGTGGAAGAATATGAAATAATGCCCAACATGGAAATATATGGCAACACGACAAATGCATTTCGATTGTCAACATGGAAGACTCCATTTGGTTAAATGTGATACAGGGTCAAAATTGTTTGGGTTGCAATTAGAGCGAAGTGTTGTATTCAATGTCATATCAACCAAATTTAGTTTGACTGTGAATCTACTTTTGCATTAAAGTAAAACAAAATGCGATGAGTTGTTATAAAGCACGATAGAATTTTATTACGCAACTCAGCTCACGTCCATGATACAATCGTTGATGCTTAAACTGCAGATTCATGATTCTAGCTTGCTCCATTGCTAGATTTTTTTCATGCAACATTGAACGCTGCGTTATGAGCATTGCAATCTTACACATTAAGTCAACGCTACGCCGTTGCGATTAAGCGTAGACGTAGGATTGATTACAATAAAGATGAAGCTATTAAGGAATTCTATCTTGTATGTTTTCACTAGAACAAAAAAGTTGTAATGAAGATTCCCGCTAATGCAACACAACCAATCGTAACATTGATTTTGAATTTAAAGCAAAGATCAATAGTATACTACTCGGCGAAGAAGGAGTACAAGATCTACTTGTATGGAAGATCAAAGTACAATCTGTCCAACATAACCAAAACATCATTGCTCATTCCAGCGTTCATCCGTAAGTATCCGTTCATCCAAGAATACCAACGAGATACAACGTTTACTTTCAGTTGTGTTAATGTTACAATCAATAGAAATGTTATGTCATTAAAGCAGAATGAAATCTTATTTGCAACATAAAAAAAGATTCATAACTTATGTCAAAAGTAATGCCTTCGGATACTTGCAAACCAGTCTTTGCTTTCAACGTTGCTTGACAATTTGGCCGAAACTGAAACCTTATAGTATTTCATCCAAGTGTACAATGAGAAAAAACCAACGCACAAATTGATCATATTGTCGTCGACATAAGTAATTTGCAATAAGTATGTGCAAGTCACGTCTTTTAACTGGCTGCAATCTACAAAACCAACAAGTATGGCATTTTTTTGCTATATGTTGTTTCTATGATTGCTATTGCCAATAGCTTTACATTGGATTAAAATCATCTATTTATATCAAAATAAATTTGATCTAATCAACATCATATGTATATATTGAAACGATGCGATCTTTATCATTAATTAATTACAATCATTCATTAATTTTTGTTACTAGCGGATGACATATTGTTGCAATTTATTTTGTACAAGACAAGATGAAAACCAAAACTATCATTTTAGCTATGAATATATAAAAAAAATAATTTAAATAAACTAAGTATGTTATGTTTCTTACTAAGTTTTATATTTGAATCTAAATCATTTAATTACAAATTAGACAATTTCAAAGATAATAAATTCAAATCCATTATTGAATTTTTGTATTTTATTTAATTTTAACTGTTTAATTTAGAAATTCAAAATTTTATAATCATCAATAGCATATTTTGAAACCTTATTTGCTTTTAGAAAAGTATGTCAAGATAAAAACATGTTTGTTTTCAAAAACTACTACTCGTGCAAATTTGATATCAAACTTATTCTCATGCAAAAGCAACTTTAAGTCATATTTTTCATAATTAAGATTTACCATTAGTAATGTACAAAGTGCATCATGCTTAAGCATATTTATATTTGATGAGACATTAAAGATAAAAAAAAATGTACAAAATAACATAGATCAAAATCAAGAAGTTTCACTCTTATCTCCGAGATTATATCTTCAATTTTTATAGTTTGATAGGATCATATAATAAAATAAAATTCAGAAAACCTTGAGCTATTCATACCAGATGCTGATAAAAAATACATAGAAAAATGTGATTTATTTAAAAGAAGAATAGATTTTAAAATTTTGTTTATGTATGAACCAATCTTACATTATCAAGTCAATAACAAAGAAGATTCGGCATGAAATTTTTTAATTCTATGATATGAAAATGAGATGTGCGATTAACTATTACAAAACTGTAGACTTGACAATTTTAAAATATAATTACATCATTTTTGAGAAATGTAAATGAAAAATAAGACTCAAGATGATGACATTTCAAATTCTACTACACATTGAGATTGAAGATAAAAATTGATTTCATATAATTGAAAATAAAATGAAAATTGAAATATGAATGAATATTTTCTAAAAATTTTGCATCAATATTTGATTATAATCAACATTTAATATTTTCATAACAAGCAGTTTAGTACTTGGATTGTCTTTCGATTTGAAACAATATAATATGTTGCAAGCCATAAGGGTTTTGCATATAATTATGTATAATTTTTAAATAATGATATATATTAGAGTATTATATCATATCAAAAAATTTAATAAAAAAAATTTAAAAAAAACCTGGTTATATTTTTTAACACAAAAGAGTTTATAGACAATTAAGTCAAATTTTTTTAAAAAATACAGTTAAATTATTTTCTATAAAGTTAATTTGATATTTTGAAAAAAATATTTAAAATTTTATGTATGTTTGGATTATTTGAAATTTGAATATTATCGAATTGTATTTATTTTAAAATTTTGAGTAGTTCATAGGTTAAAAAATATTTGGTAATATAATCAAGCTGGATTTCTTTTTCATTAAATATAAAAAAGCTATTTTTTTCATTTTTTGGAATTATGTGAACAAACAAAAGTTATTTAAGACTTTTTTGATGTCTTTAAATAGTTGTGGAAAATTATTTAAATATTTGATGAGTTTCATTTTGCATGGGATTGAAATGTAATGATATTGAGTGATCCATAATTAGTCTTTATTAAAAAAAAAATTATTATTTATTCAATAGAATTATTCCATATACGAAGGAATAAATAAAAATGTAATCACCATTTGATGTATGATTTAAGGATAAAAATAACATATATATATATAAGCTAAACTTTAAATTAAAGATTGCATGATCTTCATTTAACTAAACACATTAAATGTAAAAAATTTCATAAATTAAATTAAATTATTTTTGGAAAATTAATAAAAATATAAATTTATTAAATATAAATCCATATTGTATGTACATTTGTTATGAATTGTATCTATTCTTTCGATAGTAGACGAAAAAGTCAACAACATTCTGGGTATGCATAGCAATAAACTTCTTGCTTTTATTATTTCAAAATTATACAGAATCAGAGATATAAATTGTTACATGTCGACAAAAAATGCACAAAAACTATGGATACTCTCGTAACTTGCAATGTAACTTTCTTCGATAGACTTATTTTTTTTGCTTTGTATAAAACACTAGCTTTTGAATTGCATGGAATATTCCATAATATGGTGTAGTCGATACTTTGGATAAAATGTAAAATTAACTATGTAAAATTCAATAATAAAACTGCTGGAACTTTCATCAAGTTTTATAATCGGTTTTATCCTTGTCCAGGTGGAAAGTTCCTTCTATCTTTTTCTATCCAATTGTTTCCATTTATACGAACGTAATATCAATCTATGAAGTGATACTTGACAGACACCAATGGCCGAAGGAAAACGTTCTATTAACACATCCTACCGCAGTTTAATACCTAAACCACGTAGAGACGGAAACAGATCGGCATACGCGGTTGCCGTTATACGCGCATCGAAGGAGTGAGCACGGACACACGTGCGAACTGTCGGACGGCAAAGCGTCCGAGCTCCAGAGCCTACCGGAGAAAGGGCGTCTCTGCCTCGTGAGGCATCGAGGACTCACGCAAGAAGTGTTCCAAGGCCAACCTCCGGAGGCAAGCAAAGAGGCGGATCGGGCCCCTGAGGCACTGACCGGGCGAATGATCCGTGGACGATGAACCCCGCGGAACGAAAGCCTGGCAAGCGGATCCGACATCGGTCGTCCGCGCGCGCACTCGCTCGTTCGGAATGTACTCGTGGTGCCCGATTGCTGCGACCTGGACGGGGGCTGGGGGGCCTGACCAGACCTGACGAGAACTGACCTCGCCCTTCGAGACCATCAATTCTCGTGGGAGGGGCTGCTCCTGCCCGACTGGCCCGCAGCCTGCCCACTTGCGGAGCCTGGAGCCGCTGTGCGCCTCTTTGTCCGTGCGATCTCCGTTGTCTATATTGTGCTTCGATCATGAGTGTGGGCAATGATGTAGTTCCAGAATCCGGCTCGGCATTGTCGCGTTCGGCCTGCGGCTCGAAGAATGGCCAGCTCCAGGGTGGGTCGAAATCGGCGGGATCGTGGTTTTACGCATCGCCACCGCTGAAGAAGGGCAAGAGGTCGAGTGGCACTACGGCCGCGACTCCGACGTCGGTGTCCTCGTCCTTTTCTTCGACTAGTGCTGCTAGTGAGAGGCGCGGGTGGGCAGGAGGCCAGGTACTACCACTCCCATTCCATGCCAGGGCTCAGACTCTGTGCTCACTTAGTCCGATCTCGAGGCACATGCTCAATCCTCGCGGATTTTGTCCGCACAATGTCCGATTCCTGCGTTGAGCAGATCCACTGCCCCTCGGTCAAGCGTTGAGCGTCGCATTGCTGGTTTTGTACGCTGTGATTATGATGAGGAGAAGGTTGTGCCGCTGGCTGGCCAGTCAAGTTTTTGGGAATTGGGCGTGAAATTTGACAAGTTTTTGCGTTGACACGCAGACCGCTCCGAAGAAGAGAGGTCCAGCTGCGAAGGCCATGCCAGTCGAGCAAGAGCGCATGTCAGAGATCGACGTCGAAGCGCGGTGTTTTCCCTCCGACTGCGTGGGGAGGATGGGAGCAGAAGGGGCATGGAAAATTAAGACTTCAGAGAAAGTGACCCAGTGGCTGGAGGACTCTTGTCAAAGCACGGTGACAGGCATTGCGATGCTGGTGTCTTCCACCGCCACTTGCGCTAAGCTGGAGCCTCGAGTAGTGACGTTGGATTCCGAAGCAGGGCAGGAAGAGGTCGGCAGCCACACCCACAACGAGCAGGGAGGGCACAATAGCTGTCAACGAGGGGGCGACGCGTCTGCTAAGAAGATCAAATTTGCCGATCAGCGTTTGTCTGGAACGACATTGGCACCGCAGGCTGATCTTACAGCTACGACTAGTGGAAAGGCTGTGGCTTGTGTTTGCGGGATCAGGTATTCAGTGCGTTGCTTGAAGATGATCGCGTGTCTTCCGATAGTTCTATTGGGGTTGTACCTTAAGGTGAGGCCAAATTCCTGGGGACAGTTTGATCCGCCTCCCACGTGAGAATTTTGCTCGGGGTTGTTCACCTCAGCATTACGAAGATCGGAGACGAAGACGAGTGCAGTGCAGTCTGCTGATGAACTCAAGAGACATCAGGGAGTCTTCCTGCCTGGTAAAGGGTTCCTGGAGAGTTCGCGGATATTTGATCGCCGTGGTTTCACATCCAAGGTGGTGATAGAACATGATATTTCGCACGCAATTCAGAGGCTGGGGTCAGATGACATGCTGTGTGCACTTTCGCATTCGACGGTGGATAATATCTTTCAACAGTGGGCATCTGTTGATCGGTGTTACAAATCATCACAAGCTATGCAAGTCACTATCGCCCTAGATTCTGCCATTATGATTGGGACGATAACGATCTTGTACAACATTCGCACGTTCACTTCCAGTGAGTACTTTCATTCGGGACAGAAAATTTGATCGAGGTTTGGGAGTTTTCCTCCAACCGAGTGATTGTGGTGTAAATAACACACAACGACGAACGTCCTTGCAAGACATCACGATGTGCACATATCTTTAGGAGAATGAATTGACAGTAGATAGAAAAAGATTCAGGTGAATGTTGTATCAAAAACGGTTTTGACATATATATAATAATTGTACAATGAATTGAAATTTCACCACCTCGAGTTTCTAACATGGCACATTCTGTGACTGCAAACTATTGTTCGTACCTCCCGTACCGCTCAAGTTCAAGCTACGTTTTTACTCACAAGCAAATGCAACAGCTGCATGGTTTCAGAGAAAAATGGTTCTCTACACACAGTCTTCCTTGAACATCGGCCGACGAATGTCCCAAATTTTGGCGTGGCAGTGCACATCTCGGTCGATTGGGGAAGAGAGTGGAATAAGAACCAGGCGATTGATGAATTGGTGAAGTCAGCAAATTTGGTTAACCTCTTTACTCCTCTTGCAAACCACTCAACACAATGGATCCGATGAACAGACCTCCCGCACCGGCCAAGAAGAGTGCGGCCAGAACGTTTTGTACGACGACCAAAACGGTGGAGTCATCAGGAATGAAGACGATGGCTCCGATGGCCGCGACGAAAAGAGGCAACGCCAGAGAAGCAAGAGTAGCCGGAGAGGCAGTGGCGAAGTTCTCCGCAAGCGTCAAGAGGCCGAGATCTTCAGCCTTGGACAAGAGCCCCATCTTCTCGATGGATGAAAGAGAAAGCCCTGCACTCTCGGCCTTGGACAGAAGTCCGGCCTTCTCCACCTGGCTCAACAACTTCTTCTTCTCTAGATTCTTCACAATGTTCACGGGTTCATCCTCGATGTTCTCGGCGAAAATTCCAGCCCCGAACCATTGCTTGCTCCATCCATCATCGTAGGCATTGACCTGCACATCGGAAACATGGTAAATTGCCTCGCATTCACACCTTTCAGACCAAAATACTCCTCCGTGTACATACCAGAATTACGGTCCCACCCGCGCAAAAGGATGAGAAAACTTCATCTTCCACGCGAGTTCAGGCGTTCGGATGACAAGCGAGTCAAATCTACAAATCGAATCCAATTCTTCCACCGACGAAACAAGTCATGGTCCAGGTGGAATTGTTTCCCGTGTTTGAAAAAATCCGTACAAAGATTGAGACCAAGGGATGATTGAACGAATGATTGTGGAGACGACCCACAGGCAGCCTAAAGCTAGGCAGTCGAGGAAACGGACGGTGAAGAACAAAATTTGAGAAGTAGGCTCTTGATGGCATGGAGACAATCAGCCATGGGGAGAGTTCAAATTGCCAAGATGATTTGTAACTTCATAGTATCTGCGAAGGGCATACCTTTTTCTTGCCAGCCATGGCGACGACTTGGAGTCCATTCTTGCGAGATCGAGCTCCGTGAAGAGGAGCGAACGCGAGGGGAGCTGACAGAGCCTTCCCACGCAGCAGAGACGAATTCGAGAAGCCCAACGGAGCCAGGCCTGCGACGGCCTGACATTGCGACGCCACTGAAGAAGCTGCCATTTCGTGTCGTCCTGCAAAGGCAACTCGCTGCTTGCCGATGGGAAGTACACTCAGTCGATCGATTCGCAACACTCGAACTCGGCACCTCTCGCGGACTTGCTTCAAGCTCCAAAGCACAGGGATTTTTCCGAGCACGCTCGTCGTCCACGAGGACCCAGCGGCTGCTGCAGTTCCTGCCATTGGCCCACTGCCTCAACCCGAGGCCGCGAAGGATCAGGTGGCGCGTACCCTGCCACGCGACCTGTGGCGTGGGCCCGTTGTGCCCGAAGACAATCCGTTGGGATAAGCTCGCTCTCACATTGAGGAATGGCCGGTCGAGTCCTCGCTTCACAGCCTCCAGGTTGACCGAGTTCCATTGCCTCCTCCCGATTCCGATTCTCTGGCCATTGGAACTGCTCCAATCATGTGATTTGTATGATAAGAATGACAAATATATGAGTTTCTGAGTTTGCAAAATTATGTCTTTAAACACTTGTCTTCAATTTTTCGAACAGTTTTTTTTTTAGCTTCTGAATTGGAATTGATATCTGCATTCCGTCGTGGAGTCAGAGCAACAATGCAATATGGCAAAACTTATGGGAACGTGAATGAAATCATAGAGGCTAAGATGTGGCTAGCCCCAATAAAGTTGGTGGTTGTCAGTTCATGCATTTACACAACAGGTGACAACAACAATGAAACACAGCTACATATGCTACCCAGACAACCAATGGTGTAACAACACATGCCATGAATCAACATAACTGAATGAACTAAGTAGTTGACTCTAGAGACACATTTTTTTTCAACATACATATCCCATGCCAGTATTCTTAACTGTTAAATCAAGGATCATATCACATAAACCATATCACATCAACATATGTTCACCACGATACTCTCATCAGCAGAAAAATGAAGACAATAATTTATTCAACCAAAATGATCTCATCTTTGTGAAATTAAGCTTAAAAAACAGTTGCTCAATTTTTTATTCATGTAATTATGATATAATAAATGACAATGCAATTTATTCATACAGATAGAGTTATATTATGAGAAAAATTTCAATTTTATTTAACATTGCAGTACACAGATAATCATACATCAGCAAACCATATATCTTCATAATCTAGCTATTTTCAAGATTTGCATAAGATTATTTTGTTTATAATCATCAAATTTATGACTAAAACTTGGCAAATTCTTATTCATTAGCTCAAAAAACGCTAGGCTATATGTTCTACAATTTCTGGGTGGTTATATTTTAGAAGAATAAAATTCAAAAAACAACAAAAAAGAAATTTAAGTATAAACACTTTAAACTTAAAATACCAATAATTCAAATTCATTGTTTTTTAAATGTAATGATTAAAACCAAAAATTTTCGAAGACATCATTAATCAATATTGTCATATCTGAATAAGTATTTACATTAATAAGAAATAAGCAACATACATATATTATGAATCTGCATATCGCATTGATATAATATCATGAATGTAGTTGTGATCAATTAAAGTATGGCACTACATATTTTGAAAATTTTTAATCTTGTTTTTCAAGCGAAAACTAGACCATTTTGCAATGTTATATAGTAAATTGCATTCTCCCAAAATAAATATATGCATTAGATAAATTTCTGATTAAATAATATAATTATCAACATCATTGCACATATATTTGCAACTTATGATTAACTTTTTAAAATTTGGGCTATAACATTTAATCAAATTTTTTGAAAAAATTAACTAATTCCAATAAAAAAATTTCAAAAAAATCAATAAAAAGATATATTAATATTATTTTTATATTGATTTTTTTAAAAAATAAATTGAAATTTTCAAAAATCAAATTTTATCACAATATCTAAAAAATTGAAACATATGTAATTTTTGTTTGTACTTTTTAAAAGTCTATCATATATGAATTTATATCTTTTTTTTAAATTTACTATCAATAATATTGTTTAAAAAAATGTTTAAAAAAATTTAAAATTTTCATACTAAATTTATTTTAATAATTTTTACAAAATTAATATGGCATTATGTAGACATCCCAAAGCCAAGATAGTATAGTGTCGGCTACAATCAGGTATAGCGCTAGCTAAATTTGTGGCTCCATGGACAGTAACAACTGAAGGTAATACATATCTTACAAAAGTCAATGATTGATATATTATATATAACTTATAAGATTATTATATAATGATCGAATTATTTATTTCTTTATTATGTACATCAATAAATAATATTTTCATTTGTAAATTGAATTATTTTTATATAAATAACTTGTTGTAATTATTCAAATTTATATTAGTATATCATTTTGTATCAATATTTGTATGCAAAATCTATATCATTTTGTATCAATAATTGTGTTTATATTTACTGAAATTGATTTTTAGCTCAATATTTTTTTTATATCTTAATCTAAATATTTTATTATGACAGAATTCTTGAACACATAAAATACATACATAAATTGTTTGAATTAGTAACCAAGCTAGTTTGCAATAAGTCTTGCGAACTGCAATAAATATACAAGATGAGTTCATATTAAGAAACATAACACTTAATTATTTTACATGGAAAACAATATATTTTAATTCTAGTCATACAATTCTGTGTGTAACTGCCGAGCGTTGTTTGAGTTTAATATGAATTGGAGTTTATGAAATTTATAATTATTGTTTAAATATGTTATAATGCTTATTGAAACTGACATCAAACATGAAGCTATGTGGCAATGTAAACATAAAGTCCAATATACTCCAGATGTTATGCCAATGTTACATTTGTTTTGAAGGATAGTTTTTCTTTTAAATCTACATTTATAAACATAAAATTACATACAATCGAATGAACCATGCTATTATTTCAATTGTGGTTTGCTTTTGAAATTCTTTTTCCGCTTTCATATGTCTTGCAATGATCATATTATTCATCTTTTATTGTGGCACATGAAATTCATGTTTTTTTTTTATTTAGAGTCAAATTTTCATTCCATCATACTAGAAGATTATTGATATAAGTGTGAGAAGGTGACATTATATCAACAAATTCATGTGCAAGTACTTAAACTAAGGTCAATCTTCTATATATATTTATATTTTATTATTAATGTATGAAATATTTTAAATATGCAAAATGTATAAATATCAATTTCATGATTTCTTCTTTCTGCAAGCTCAAATTCTTAGTTAACTTACTAGACTACGAATAGTACAATCATATAATTCTAGTACGATTGTGAGAAGTCAACATGACATCAAGAAAAATCATGTGCATTTACTATTACTGTAATCTATTAATTTTAAATTAATACATGCATTACATATTTCTAACATGTCAAGAACAGCAATTCGAATTGAAAATAAAATAGAATTTGCAAACAATCATGACACATGATAAATTTCTCAATTGGGAAGAAGTGAAATTTACATTAGTCACTAATGAATAGCGGGAAAGAAAAGAAGGAGTTCTATCGTCAATTGTAAAACGGGTACTACACAAAGCCGGTAGATATGAGTACTATATAAGTAAAGAAGCAAGCAAACGGTTGTATTTTGAGCAATAAAATAAAGTCATGCAAAGCTGTTAGAGAGACTGGTAAAGCCAATGATGAAGACTCTTTTCAATATGTAAAAACGTTGGAAAGCCTGTGCGTTGCAAATATCGAAAAGAAACAGAATTTTATGGAATGGTGATTTAAATATTCCGGTATTTTTCTCCAAAAGTTCAGCTTTTGTAGCAATCACTACGAGATATTTTCGGAGGTTACGTCTAGGTGTGAGCATTTGGTCTAAGCTCAAATGACAAATGATGGTAAAATTAGGATTTGCCAAGTTGAGAAACATCATGTAAGAGTAACTAGTAATTATTATCAAAATCCTAGGGCTAAATCCTTAACCAGGCTCGACAACATAGATAAAGGGAAAGAAATATTATGTAAATTCCACTTATTGGATAGTTTTAGTTCTCTCATTGTCACTTCCGATTTTGAAAATACACTTTCGAAACAAAACAGATATTTTGACATTTTGGTCTGTTTCCGCATGTTAATCATCCAAATTTCCAACTCACTATCTTGAGATGTTGAAAGAGTGATAAATTTCTGACATGTTAATGCTTATATTAAAGAGCGTTCAATCGTCTATCAGAACACAACAGTGTATTTGATCATCGATCACAAGATCATTTTGGTAAATTTGATCTATTCCTCTTACTCTTCGTACTCTCTATGTGACCTGATTTCAGATGCGCTCATTTCTATCTTCTTCACATGACGCGATCTAGAAGTATCCACAATTTAAATTTTTGTACAAGTAAATGATCGCATAAGTGCTTCTCCGGAAGATGGTGAATCTGCTCTTCCTTTTCGGTTGCAGAAAAGAATTCAGGTTGTAAAAGATTCGCTTGGAATAAAGTTTGTCATCAACCTGACTCCTTCCCATGAACTTTACGGCATGCGATTGAAGATGCAGTCCGAACGTAACCTCCACCTCTTTGCCTGAAACTGGAGTCAGCATGCGATCTTTCCGCGAGATAGACGACATCATTTCAATTTCCCTCGAAGTTTAACGCCGAGTACTTTCTCCATCTTCCCAAGGATCTGTTGGTTGGGAATTGCTTTACCAGACTCGTATTCCTGAACAACCTTAGGAGGCTCATTGATAAGCTTTGCTAATTCCACTTGTGTCCACTTCTTCTCAAGACGCGCCTTTTGAATCGCGTGTTTCACTTCTGTTGCGACTCTTTCAAAGGTGACGGGTTCCGTTTCCTCCTCGAGTTTGCGCGCATTGATGGCTGTCTGAGGAGTTTTTTTGTTTGTGCCTCCCTCGAATTTCTTGGTGACGGACACTCCAACACCAGATCTCAAAGCAGCGTTCACAGCTTTAGGATCGCGTGCATCCGAGGCCTTTGTCGGTCTTTTGTGTATAACTACAGGCGCCCAATCCTGTGTCACCGGACCTGCTCCTCGCATCGGCATTATGTCCTCCTATCCTCTGCAATAATCCACGGAAATTCGGTTTAAATTGGTAAGCGACGCGAAACACACATTTATATACGGGAGATGAAATTATCCGCACGGCAATTGCTGCAAACTAGGATCGGAGAATCGGACACACCTGTTGCAATTGATGTCAAGTCGTCTCACACGCACCAAAATTTTGGACTATATGCAACACCAGAAGACGAAAAAGCACGGCGGACGATTCAGATGATTGGAGATTTAGAGAGAGACGACCGCTCACAATCGCCACGAATTCAAGCGACCCGCGTATCAGAACGATCAATCCAAGTGTTCTCGTGAAGATCGAGCCACTCTTAGACTCCGAAGTTTGCGAAGAAGCCCGCCTTGAGCACAAAGAATGCACACGACGAAGAAAATAGACCGCAGGAGACGAGAGTTGGAGAGATAAAAGGATGAGAGATTGAAATAATCGCGCACTCGATGGATCGCTTGCAACATAAGGAAGACGGAACGAAGATTCTAGACAAGAGTGTAAGAGGGGTTTTTCTGGAACATTCTCTGCCTGGACGGACAGTTCCTTCGAGAACACGCTTCCACAGCTCGCGCTCTTCCTCTCTTGCTGCGAGCGTCCTGCCCCGCCCCGTCAGTCACCGCTGGTTCGTTACTGGAACCTTCGGGGTTTTCTCGAACAACCCAAACTTCCGATCAGTGATCCGCCGGTAAGGAATGCTTGACCTTCCGTGTCATGTCCTTTGGACCTCAGAAGAAAACTCTGAATTTCGTCGGTCTAATACTGGTCTCTCTACTTGTTACATTCTTAGTAGGATGGCTAACACTTAAAGGTGGCTTGTAAACCCATCACATTCTGCATTCTATGTGCTCTATCCAAAGGCTTTACAGCCTTCAGACTCAGCAGCATGACTATTGAATGGATTCTCGGTTCCTCTTCAAGGTCGTTAATGGTCGTCAATCCTGTACTTGACTTTGCTCTTGTGGTTCCAATTCTTGTTGCATATGGATTAGAGATTAGAGCATTTTCAAGTACCTCATGCCTTCATATATGTGGATGTTTCGGAATAGCTTCAATAATAAATGACTTTGTGGTCTCCATTGATGGTTGCTCTAACATGACTTGGAGTATTTCCTACAACATAAGTAAAGATACTTGTTAAGATTTAAAGAGCTTAATACACTCGCTGAGAAGCAATTGGAACATTCATCAGACATGTGAGGTATGAAAGAATTCATGTCAATCAAATTTGATGACTCTTTATTGAGCAATGTGTAGTAACAAAATGATATCCGATATGATTATTGCACAAACTGTCAAAGTTGTTTGAACAACACTTACTGAAGTGTCGTGTCTAGATGGAATAAAATATACGGTGTGTATCAATGGCTGATGAACATAAGGAATAACACAAAAAACAGTTGGCAAGTGATATATAGTATATATATAAAAAATATAAATATAAATATATAATGTAGGCAAATTCCCTATACATTTCAAGATTTATTTTAGTTTTATGCGAAGTTAATGTATAGTGTAACCGTGGACAAAATTTGCCCATGAATGTGCTTGTGAATCAAATTTTACAAATCATATATTTTATAATCATTGAAAATATAGATTTGATCCTACTACTATCACATCATCAGTTAAAGTTCAAATTTTCTATACTTTCATTTTTAAAATAAAAAATAAAATCAACATGGGTTAGTAGAAATGTGTGTTTTATATATTCAATAACATTCAATTGTCACAATAATAGATGATAATTAACATATATGATATTGAATTTTTTTGTAATTATGAATAAATTAATGTAAATCCACATCACATTTCAATTTTCATTTTTTGATACATTACTAAAATATTTAATTTCATGTAGCTAAACATTATTTTTTAAGCATAATATCCTAATAGATCATCTCTCAAAAACATAATTTATTGTTTCAAATAAAATAAAATATTTTTGAACTCTAAAATCATGTTTAAATGATTTGAACTCTAAAATCATACTTTAATTTATATATTTATAAAAATTATGAAGTTTGAATTTTTGTTCCTATTTATATTTTTTTTCACATATCAATCTAGCAAATTTGCATACAAATTTTTTTGGATTTTTTTTGCAAAAAATATATAAATATAAAAAACATTATTACAATGCAATTATTAAATAATTGACCGATGACCCAGCTCTATATCGTTCACATGTTTTAATTGTTGTAAAATATTTTTTAAGTATTAAAAAAAAGACACACATATATACAAATAATTGTAATCATATGTGAAATGAAAAGCATATTGAATAATTTAAAGTTAAAAAAAAAATTAGGGATATATATAACCGTTTCAATATTTTTAGATTCAAGAAATAATACTGTAATATTGTCAACTTATTTCATGTATCATTCCTCACGTAATTTAGTTTTATTTTTTATTTTTTGGTTATTATTATAGAAATATGTTTTCACATAAAGTTTGATAACCAACCTATATAACTTTTTTTCATTATTTATAATCAAGTTATCTTTTAGTCCTTACAAAAGAATTCTCTTACTTTGTTGGTATCAATATTAACATTTTATTTTATTATCTCTTGGAAATTTATATGTTTATTACAAATGCAACTCAAACAACACTTATTTCATAAAAAAATGATTGTCAATGACAATTTAATTTGTTTGTTTAATATTGCCATTTTTATATTTAATTCTGAACATAAAATTAATCTATGAAATATTTTCATTGTGGTTATTTCGAATATACAAATAATTATTATACCAATAAAGAAATTTACAATAATTCATTATTTCAATATGCCATAATTTTTTTTCTAAAAATAACAAAAATTGAGTAACAACAAAATGAAAAGTATTGGTTGGTTCAATATTACAATTGATAGTTTATATATAATATATGAATTATTTCATCAATGATAGAATTGAAAAAAAAAATTTGATTCAATATTGCAATTATTTTGTTTTAGAATACACATCTAATTATTTGATCAATTGCAAACAAAATTAAGTATTGATTGGCTCAATATGGCTGTTATTTTCTAGCACATACAATTTTCTATCAATGACAAAATAAAAGAATTTAATCAATCCCATATTGACATAGATATTTTTAGTTCTCAACATATGATGAATTATATAATTATAAACAATATCATATGAATTATGATCTTTTATGTTTATTAAGAACTTGAACTGATCTCATTTAACAATTATATTTCACACGTGAATCAAATTGTTCAAAATTTCATAGGTGCAAATTTATACGCTGTACTAAATGATGTAGTACACATAGCTAAGCTAAACAAAGTTTTTTTGGAAACATCACTGTAAGAATTAATGTCAACATCATCATCACGTTTGACACATTTGAACAATAATAACATTTGTTTATCTTTTCTTTGTTGTTGCTTGACAATGTCAAAAAAATTGAACATTAATTTAACTACACAGCCAAACACATGTTATTCATAACCTACTTGTTTGCATCATTTTACTATTTTATCTTGAAGAGTTAACATCATATCTTCTATAATGTCAATCACAATATATCAATAAATTTCATATGTTAATTTGAATTAATCTTATTCAAGATCTTTATTTCATATTTATTTTTATTCTCCAAAACATCATACGCGCAAACGATAAATTCTAACATCATTTCAAATGATGTTTTCTAGTAGATGCATAGCCAAGCAAAACAAACTTTTGTTCGTCTTTGAAATCGTCATTGAGAAACAACTTTATTTCATCACAACAATTTGTCATTCAAATCTTATATTGAATATTCAAAAAATATTTTACAATTTCATTATTTTTCAAACTATATTTTATAACTGCATTTTATGACTTTTCATATAAGATTTATCATTAAAATTAGTGTGAAAATTATGAGAAAATTTTTAACTTGCATTAAAAATTATAAATCAACATAGATTATAAATTATGTTTGATCATAATCTTCAAATTTTTGTAAATTTGAAAATAAACTTTCAATCATAATCTTGATTTTTTTTAATAAAATAATAGATTCAAATCAAATGTTGTGAATTTTATTTTTAAATAAGTTGAATACGGATGATAGAAGTTCACTCATAAAAATTAGTTTATTGTTTACAATCAATATAAATAAACCCAAACAATCATTTGCTTTTCAAATTCTTTTCTAAGTATTTTTTTCTATAAATTAATAATTTATAGAAAAATAATTAATAATTTTCTTACTTATAATTATTAGTATGTATTCCTTTGTCACTAAATTCACGTAAGTGAATTTTAATAATTTAATAAAGCATATTACATTGCAAAAATCCATTGGTATATTTTAAAATTCTATAAGTTTTTATTATTCTATATTGAGAGTTATAGTGTGTTATTGAGTAACTCAAATCCAGTAGACTTTCAACTCGTCACTTGTTAAATTTGAACTTAGATTACAATACCAATCAACAATATTTTACAAATAAAAACCAACATGTTGTACAAAATTATTTGATTTGAAATCTACACTTTGATAAAAGAGAGTACATCGATGATAAGCTATAACTTTTAGAAGCATATTTCTTATTTTGCCAAATGTAGATTTTATAGTTAAATTTCATAAAAAAGAAGTTAAATTTGATCAATTTCAAGTTTAAGTAAGTAATAAAATCATATATTTGATAATATAATATTTTATTAACATATGAATAATAAAAGAAATATTTTAAAACCAATTATCAATTATTCTTTTGACTGTGTTATTAAATTTAGATTACTTTAAATATTGTAAGTTTTTTCTAAACTCCTGAATAAAGAATGAAGAAATAAATATTGATGATCTTTTCATTTTTTTGTCCATCTTTCATCTTGGCTATACATTCATTAATGTTTACACCCATCATCAAATATTTATGATTGTATGTTGAGATGTGATTTATAATTATCCGATTATCTTAATCTATAATCTTTGCAAATTATAGTTTTCAGTTACTACAAAATTAATAATTATCAAATTATCAACTCAAATCACACATAAATCGTTTTTGAATTATAAGCTTATTTGATCATCCACTTTTGTTTTATATAAATAAGTATATATATAATTTTAGTTTTTAATGATCTTTTACTAATCTTTGATGTATCATCAAATTATGAAAATATGAATTAGTAAAACTGAAAAATTAAAAATTAAAAAAATTAAAAAACAAAAGAGATTATACATAATATACAATTACATTTTCTTATCATTGAACATATGATGAGTAGGTTTTTCTTAATTTTTTTATCAACATTATTTTTACTTCAAGATTAGTAATATATGATTATTTTTACTCGATGGATAACATTGTGATGAATAATGATGAAGGTGCTACTTTTTTTCTTTTCTTAATAATGAGATCTTAAAATTGTTTCATTTGAATTATTGTTATTAGAGTATATTTTATCTTGTCATCTAAAATCTTATTTTCTAGCCTATCATTAAAAACTGTCATACATTGTAACTCACTTATAGACCATCATTTTCACTTGTTTTCATGCCAAATTTAACTATCTTTTTAAATATCATGAAAAAATAACTTTCTTCATGACTATATCAGAATAATGTTGTTTAGTTTTTTTGCCATGCTTTTTAGCTTTGATCTTAATATCGATTGGATTGGATTTCTTTCTCTGATATATCATATTGCTTATTAGCTATATATATTTATTAATTGATCTTTACATAAAATAAAATGACAAATTTGCACTACTGTCTTTAACTATTTCAAGATTTTGATGTTTTGGTTTGATGAGCAATTGATCATAAAAAATAGAACAACAACGGTTAGCAAGATTGAATTTGTTTTTTTTCCACGTATGTAATTTATTGCAGATGTGATGATTTGATTGCTCTACAAAAAGCTTCAGCTTGGGCTTTTAGAAATAAGTGAATCCAGTTAGCTAATGTAATATCATATGCTCATATATATATATTCTTACTTGAAATTTTTGTATATTGTAGATTTTTCTAAGAAATATCTATTATCATAACTTAAGCTATTTTAACCTTTACTTTCATGTGTGTTTTATTCTTTGAGAATCTTGTTGTTGTCACTCTATTGGACTTTTTATCCATTTGCCTCTTAAGCCTAATTTGGAGATAAAATAATAGTAGCCTGTATAGCCTTATTTTCTCACAATGTTTAAGAAGAATTTGATTACTTTATCAATTTCACGATTGTATCTAGCTTTATTTTCCGTTGGTTGGTTATTCAAATGACAAATGTATGATTTTACTAGCTATTTGTATGGTTCATATTTGTGCATAAAAATGTTGATGTATCTATTTTTATCAAGATTTTAAGAATTATTTACCAAATTGTAAAATTTGAAATTTTCATACTAATATTCAGTATCACAACAACTTCCCCATTCTTTGGTCACTTAACATACATCGAAACATTCACATTCACTTGTCTCTATTTACACTCCGTAGAAATAGTCTAAAAGCTTATTCTTGACTCCAGTTCCAACCAAAGCATCACTCAGAGTCACCAACAACTATAATATTGATAACTTTTATTTGGATAGCAAATCTGGTGTGGATAAAATAGTAACTTCAATAGTTTAAAAATCTTTTCTGTTTGATGCATACTGTAAAAGACGCTTAAAAGATATTCTCATCGAAAGATGTTTGTATGGACATGGTTCTTTATCCAAACATATTCTTCATGAATTCCTTCTGCTTTGTACCCGAGTAGCTGTCGTGCATCTCCCGCTTCCTTTTAGAGGTCACAGATGGAGCTAAATTAAGATTAAAGTAAAGAATATAAATTGATACATCAAGTCCTTTACAGGTGAACCCTATGTCTAAAACTCCGGCGGCTGGCATGCCCTAAGAACAATGAGCACACCAGAACTCTGCGCTAGGGTTTCTAACGGACATGCAGACACTGGATGCCTTGCAAATCCATTAAAACATGCGCATTGTGTACAGATGGTATCATAATGTTTACTTCATGGAAGCCAGGTTGCAATTTTCTCTGGATGAGTGGTGATAGTGGATAGTGGAGTCTTTGTGTAGATGATGTCGGGGCTGGACGTCGATTTTCGATGTCGAGGTCTCAGCCCTATGTCAGTATTGTTTGCAGTGTCTTATTTGTCCCGTACCGGATTTGAGGTTCGGTGTTTCTCGGGAGTCTCTGAGCGCAAGTTCACGCTCACTCTAGCGCCGATCCTCACTCTTTGCTCCATCTTCAGGCAATCGGTGTTGGAAAGCTCTTGGGGGTTTAGATGTGGCCATTGGAGGCAGTAGTTGATGGCTTTCCAGGTTTTGCTTATAAGCTTATCCAGTGTTGGTCTCTGGGAATGTTATAGAGGACGTGCGGTTGTTGTGGTGCATAGCGTTCCATCACTCTCTGGCACTTGTCGAGATCTGTCGTAATACCTCCCGAGTTTTGTTACATCTCTGGTGGGATGTAGTTTCATACATGTGGCGACACGCTACTGCAACATCTAAAGGCGGCAAGATTTTCATCTTACAGTGACTACTTCCTTCGTATCCTGAGTTCTCGTAACTCCGGTAAGTTTCTATATGTTCTTCGTTTGTGGGTTGGCTGTTTCATAGTGTTGAGATTTTCACCTGTTACATGTTTCGAGCACCGGGCTCCGGATCTTGAAACCACAATGGCGGGGGATAGACATTCTTGGCTGAGTGTCACCTCGGGGCCACGGAGCGACGATGGTGCAATCACCATATGTCGTATGATCCTGCCTAAACGTCAAATATTGATGGCTCGTTGATGGCTGACGCTTCCGAGCAGGAAGGCATATTCCATAGCCCTGGAGAGCGACGTCGTCGCACTTACTCTTTGGGACAGACCATGCATTCTACAGATCTATATTCATTGAACTGTAGCACAGGAAGTCTTTTCGGTTGTTTCTTCTGTGTCAGGGCCCACCTGGATCTGAAATTCACGCTGATTTAGAGTCAAATGTCTGGCGCCGAAGGATCTAATCTTCGGGTCTTGGTGTCCGCAATGGCGGGGGACAGACACTCTTGGCTGAGTGTTACCCCAGGGCTTCGGAGCGACGATGGTGCAATCACCTTATGTCGTATAATCCTGCCTAAACGTCAAATATCGATCGCTCGTTGATGGCTAACGCTTCCGAGCAGGAAGGCATATTCCATAGCCCTGGAGAGCGACGTCGTCGCACTTACTCTTTGGGACAGACCATGCAGTCTACAAAATCGATTTCTGTAGACATTCTTTCCGGATCGTTTCAGATTGGATGAGCTGAATTAAAATCTGTAGGAAATGATTGATTTCATTGAAACAACTCGTATCGAGATTAGTGAAACAACTCGTCGATTGTTTTCAATGAATCTATCATTTACTGCAAATTTTAACTTGGTTGAATGAAGTACAAGAGATATCCTGCGGAAAACTTCGAGAGAAAAACTCTGTGCAGGTTCATTCCATCTTGCGACAACAACAGAAACAGAGAAGTACGCAGTGAAGTCTTCTGGAGAATCTGTGACTGGACTGAACTAAAATTTGTAGGATATGATTGAGTTCATTAAAACAATTCGTATCGAGATAGCCCAAACAATTCGTTGATTGTTTTCATGAACTCCATCATTTCTTCAACTTTTAATTTGGTTGACCGAAGCTGCTGGAGACACTCAACTGAAGTCTCTAGTATGAAAGAGTATTTGTGAAGAGCATTAACGACATCATGAACTCCATCATTTCTTCAACTTTTAATTTGGTTGACCGAAGCTGCTGGAGACACTCAACTGAAGTCTCTAGTATGAAAGAGGATTTGTGAAGAGCATTAATGACATCGCGACAGATGGACAGGTTGAGTTAAAAACCTGGGCGAAAAGGAAGGTTAACCTGCGGTTTGGTTTGGTGCCGTTTTCTAGAGCAGAGAAGTTCCGTATATTAATTAAGTCAGTTGAGGAGAAAAAGCAATTAACTGCACGAAAGATCAGGAAGAATTTTTAAATTATGGAAAATGTGGAGGAGTATAAAAGACATCTATGCCGTACACATACTGTTAAAAAGTGGGACATGTGATTGTGGAGGTTAGACGATAATCGCAGCCGATTCCTCATTTCTTTTTTTGGTCTAAAGGAGTTTGAGGCAACAACTCTCTCAGCCTTCGCCCCAGAGTGAAATCTACAAGCCAAGATGAGTAATAACCACCAAAAAGGTTCACAACCCCGTGTAGCTACAAAATCTCACCAAGAAGCTGGGAGAATGAAAGATGTTTATCCGTGCGCCATGAGCAATTACACACAACCATCTGTACTGAGGAAAGTAGTTGATGGAACGACTGGGAAACTCACTCACTTGGTGGAACTCCACTCGAAGGTTATGCAGCCAACTGTCAGCCGTATTCCAATAAAAACACTTAATAACCCGCCAAGTTACTTTGACAGTGTGCGGACTGTCTGCCGCTGTAAAGCTAGAGTATATTGGCGACTGGCTCGTAGCCATGTTTGAGAGTGAACTATACCCGATGAAATCTGGCCGAAACTGCATTTCCTATCCGAGGTAACCCTACATCGTATTGGAACATCAATTACGGTGGGCTGCAGGGCCGTCGATACAATCCCACGGGGTAAAATGAAACACCAACTGTCCGTACCATGAAGTGTTCTGACTCTCGCCGGATCCCATCGAGTAATTATCTCGTCTAAACTAGTCAATGACAGACGAATAGTTGTCAACCGCGGAAATCTCCTGATTCATGCTATGTATGATCGAAATGGGAGTAAACGAAAAAGTCTAAAGATAAATTTGTACGAAACCGCCGGAGAAAGTGAAAAGATTATAATTCACTAGCCACATCCTCCCACCATCCCACGATATGTGAAAACACCCGTGAGGACTGCTCTGACCGAATACAAAGGTCAGGCCCACATCTCCATCGAAGAATTCTTCGCCAGGTTTCGTTTCGTTAGAGTTGATGAGAGTCGGTTACAGTTGATGGTATGCTGCTGTTCATATGCACAAAAGCCTCTTGAAAAAGTAAAGGTTCACGTTACATAGGAGAGATTTGCTTGATGGGACCCCAGCCAAAATTAAATTGCTTGATGTGACCCATCAAGTTTCAATTTACCCGATTGGAACCCATGGACGGTGTGTCGTAACTGAGTTCTAGTAGGTGTTCTAGTACGGGTATATTCTCATCGCCAAATAAATGTGTCATTTATTTGGCACACCTGAAACTGTAGTGCTACAATATATTTTGGCGACGTCTACGATTCGAGCTATTTATTCAGCTATTTTTTCATTTTCGTCCCATTCTTCCCAAGAAAGTGATTCAGCAGGGCCAGAAACGGCGAAACAAAATATCATGTGCCGAAGGTAACACGAAGAGTGACTCAAGCACTGTCGTCTGTTCATACTAGGACAGTGTAAACACCTACTAAAACTCAACAACGGCACAAATCTCATATTGCTGTTACAGAAGGAACTGCAACGTGACCAGATATAAAAATCCTTTGAAATGAGACGAACCAGACAACTGCTCAACATGTGGGCAAAACATAATATGATCGCTTTATGTAATTTCTCAATCAATGAATATCTTTGTACAGACCTACAGCTCTGCTGCGGAGCTATCTCTGACTTGTCAAAGCTAACTCTTGAACTACGTTACAAGGGACGGGTCGCTTCCCTGAACTAGATGAATGCCACGCTTACAACTGTTTCGACGGAGCAGCTGCTGGAAACTTCAAGGTTGATCTACCTTTAGGCATAATAGATCTTTGCCTTGCCTCAAAAAGCACTGAGCTGTAGGGCTGCACTTCGTATGTGCCTCCCAGACTGCGAACAAACGCAATCACACTTTCAGAGGACAAAAATCCTAGATCATAGAAAAGGTTGAAAAAGCACATGAATCTAAAATATATCAACCTATCTCATAACGGACCAACGGACGAAGTTTGCCTTGTAGTACTTTACCTTGTGCTGATCTGCGTATTGATCGGTACCCCTTCGAGAACAAAATCGTCAGGATGAGGCAAACTTGTATCTGCAATCCGATACCTGTGAAGGAACAGATAAAATGTAGCTTGAGCTGACTGTGTGAGTACTACTTAAGCTATCTTCCAGGTTGCTGAGCGAAAACTAAGGATACTCTTATCTAAAGCGTCACAAATCACAAAGAGCAAGCATCTGTTTCCATGAGTAGCACCAAAGAACATACAATGCCGTACTTTTCTTTTCAAGCCCAAATTACGTAAATACAAAGCATTAAAGGCTTCGTTCAAGGAGGAATAGAAGACTACAGCTCGACATTCATACCAGTACATAAAACATTCGTAAATGTATCAAAAAAATTACTTCATGTCCTTAACAATCTGTGAGATGACAGTGTTCGGTTGAATTTATGTACAAATACTCTGTGCTCGCATAGCCCAAAGACTTCGGTTGGATTGATTGGAAGAAAGTTGACACTGATGAAATCTCTTCAGAATCATCAACTATCTTACATACTCGTGAGACAAAAGCAGGCTTCTCGAAGGAATGTGGGTCTGACATACTCTTTCAACCTTCCTTCGTCTAATATAAAATAGCATATAGGAAAAGGTTGACCTGTACCATGTCATCCCCGTAGAACATTCGGGAAAAGTGGCCAAAACTGCATCTCCATGAGGATTGAAAGCAATGAAGAGATCAGCCACCTCCAGTCCTCCAACGCCTTCTTGCTTATCTGCGATGAACCTTGCGCCCAAGAAGGAGCTGCGAATCCACATTACGCAACATGCAGCTGAGACAGGTACTTGACTACATGAGATACGAATAGCATTTCAACCTGTCTCCGACTTTTGACATAACTGATCGGCTCGCATGTGCGACTTTTCTTCTTACTCGTGAGACTAAGCATACATCAGGGCTTCGATGCCACTGCATCATCCTCTCCAGTAAATCATATCAATGTCAAATTAGACGAAGTTAACCAATTTGATCACAGTTTGATATACCTCTTGTGAATCTCCCAGTGTGGTTCTTGTGAATCAGATCCATGCCAAGTGATAGATCCAGGAACAGCATAGCTAGAACGCTGCAAGATCATTTCCGAGTTTTGGATCAGTCGGGTTAATAATCATGATACAACTTAAGAATTAGATTCAGGAGATGTAACATGCTGTGGGTTCACTAGAACTTATTATCTCATCCAGCCAAAAGAGAGCCAATCCGACAAGATAGTTCGGCATTCAGTTGTATACTTGTTCTTTCCTCAGTAACAAATGTGCAAGATAAGCACCTGAAAGATATCTTTCCGCCTTGAGCGAAAGTCAGTGAGAGACTTCATTAACCTCGTGATTTGCTGGCCAAAGTCCGTTCCAAGATAGCTCCAAAAAAATTGGCTTGAACTATTTACAGTAAGTACGAGAACAAAACTGATCAGATCATGAAACAAATCAATCATCTTGACTACTTTGATAACAACAGGTAAGTTTTTCCTCGGAGGTAAAATCCCCGGCAGCTTTGAAGACAAAAATTTAAAGATATCGGTAGCAGAGAAAAATCACCTCTCTTCCAAGTCGATTTGACCACCTTTAGAATGACCATACTCATCCCCCATATTAAAAACAGGAACACCTTCTGATAAAAGCAGAGCCATGATGAAGTTTCGAACCTGCCAATATCAGCTCATCTTCAGAAACAATAACACTTTGATAGTCACTGAGCTTTAAACAGGGAAAAGATCAGTCAAGCCTCAAGTCAGCGGTCGCATGTTACCTGTTTGACTCGGGTTTCCAGAACCAAGGGATCTTCTGTTGGTCCTTCTGCTCCGCAATTCCAACTACAGGAGGAGGGCATAACTCATAAGGCAAGTAACGAAGGAAGTTTAAAATTTTCCATCTCAAGTACTTTCCAATCTCAAAGTCTTACTTTGAGATTGGAATATTAGACATGTAAAGTTGGGGTTGCCAAAGCGAAAAAAAGGTGGTAACGACTAACCAAACCACTCAAATCTATAAGTACAAGAGCGTTCAAAAGGTGTTTACCTGAACTCGGTTGAAGATCCACTGCTTTCACTGAAAAATAATCAATATCACCTTGCCGTTAGAAATCTTGTTAGTGACAGACGTCATCTTATCGAGATAAGTACGAGGAAAAAAACTGCAAGGGGTGAAATAAAATTAATCTAAAACTTACCTGAAGCTTACGAGATCAGCTAGAGTGAAGCCGTAAGGACCAGTCACGAAGTTCATTGAGTAGCTGGGTCCTCGTCCATTGGCGAAAATATCCCCACTGAAGGCTCAAAAGTAATCGAAGTTGATTTAGCAGACGTCTAAGGACTTCATAAGCTTTCAAAGAAAAAATAAAATCCTGTGCTAGCTTCCCACTTGAAAATAAAACCAGTTGCTTGTATAGGGGAGATGTAAGAGGAGCTTAGAATCTCCCATACACTCAACACAAAACTTGTTCGGGTCCTTTGGATACTTCTTTGATTTTACGAAAGAAGGGTCCATAGACGTGAAATGGCTAATCCGCACACGCCGGGTGATACGGCACTTCCAGTATATGATAACGCTTGGTTAAATAGAACGCAAAACGTTTCTGATTATCTAAAGAAAACTGGAATCTATCTTTGGCATAATTTAGTGACGTCAAATGGAAGGAAGAAGCATATCACCTGCCACATAATCGAGTAGCAAAACTACTTAGCTCGCCAATATCACCTCTTAGAAACCTTCGCGCATCATTCCGAAACAAACTGTTCAACTCACACCACCGTCTCCAATGAGGAAAAGGAAGTGACTGCAACATATGCGAGCCATTTGACTTCAGTAAGTTCATGGTCTGTGTGAGAGGTGGATAATGTGGACACCTAGATGAGATTAAAGATTCCTGTTTCCGCAGGCGCAATCAAAACTAGCTCACCAAAATACTGGTGCTCAAGGGTAAAGCACGGCTTCAAGCTACGGCCTGCGTAAAAATTGACCAAGTAAAGATGTCGACTTTTCAGAACAAGGGTGAATCTTTAGTGCGAAAAGAACATCGTTTGGCTTGATTACCTTCGAAGACCTTGTGAAGGGAGAGAAGGTGTCGACAATAAGTTTTGTGCTTGCTAAAACAGGATCAAACGAGATAGCTTCTACCAGTACTGGTCGACTCAACTGCTGTCCATGAGGTCCAGTTACAAGGGCTGAACCGTTCACGAATACAAAGCCATCCACATGATATTCCTCCACCCAGTGCCTTAGGCTGTCCACAATCTGAGATATCAGAGCGATGAGAGAAAGATAGTCATTGAAAAATGCCTCTTCCCTTCATCATTCATTACATATAATGTACTTTCACGACACTATCAGTTCATTAAACAATTCCAGCTCGCCAGACGTACCATTCTTTGTACGACGGGATGATTGCAGTTGAAGGCATTTGATGTTCCAAACTCTGAAGCGACAACTCTGAAATTACACAAGTAAAGGCGTAAGTCAACACAACAGTTCTGCACTGCCGCGGAAAGACTGTATCGTACTTGCAGAATCGACATGTCCATAGAATTGGTATAATTGTGGAACATCGAATGTGGAGAAGAGTGGATTCCGTATGAAGCAATTACCAACCCTACTAGTTATCGATTTGTGATCTAACGAGAACTCCATTTGTCGCAATTTGATATATAAATATGATTAGTTCGACTACAAATCGGATGTCGCAGTAAACCGTACTGGAGAATAAAAAGGAACGTACTTTCCAAAGCCATCTAAGATGTAGAAAGTAGAGTTGTCGATGCCCCGAAATGATATGTTCTTGGGTGTATCGTCTCCACCTTCTGCAGTGTGACTATATACAACATCCAGTATAACCTGTTCAAACAACAAATATAAACTGTGACAAAATAAGTTTATATCATAAACTTTTCAAACAGATACAGCGGAGATTAGGATCTACCGCATCAAATTGGTAATCAGATGTTTATTTTTATACTAAATCAATCCTCAAAATATCGGGTTGATAACAAGATGTCACAAATTATCTAACAACGACCTCTTTCGCGACGTTCTCATTATCATTGCAAGTCTAGTGTTATAGTTCTGATGTATAGGAACGGTACCTCTATACCATGAAAGTGTAGCTCCTTCACCATTTTCTTCAAAGATGTACTTGCTGACAAGCAGTCTCCGGATCCGTAGCGGGCAGCAGGAGCGAAGAAGCTGTAAGCAGGAATACTTCATATGTATATTATTCGAACCTCAAAAGTTCAAGGAAGAACTACGTTTGAAACTTTAACTGTTAAACATGAAATCCAAAGTCAAGCAGGACAAGCACGTTGTCTGATAATGATACAGCTTGCGGCTAACAGCAATTCCACGAAAACAACCCCCACTTTTCATCTCTATAGCATCTACACATGAGTACATCCGAACGTCATATGAACAGGTTCGGCCCTAGGACTGCTTGTTCGTATGGTTTGTCGTCAACAATAATTAAAAGGTTACCTGATTGGATTCAACCGACAGTCATCATGCTCAAAAACTGATTCCAGGATAACCGCATTTACACCTGCACGTAAGAGCACAATTAAAGACTTGTCTCACAACGCGAGTGTAACTTTCACCCTCTTAGTGTAACTTAAGGCCTAGAACGCACCAAGATCGACGAGGTGCTGGACTTTGCGTGCGATTCCCTCGAATGTTCCTCGAACACTCTCCTCCAGGCCGCTTGATTCATCTGATGTAAAACTCGCGACATTCAACTTGTACACAACAAGTCTTTCTAAAGGTATGCTGCGAGTAAGAAAAACGCCAACATGTGAGTTTTTTATTGTTCCTGGGGACGCCAACTCATGAGGCCTTTCGAGTCCCCCGAGTCCGGTATCAAGATTTTCATTCGTCAAGTCTCACATAAACATCAAACCAAGAGATGGCTTACCGAGGATAAGCATCGCTTTCCCAGTCAAATTGTACAGTTTCTCTCTTCAGCGATCCCAGAGCTCGTGCTGGTGATGGAAGACTTTCTAACCCCACATCACAGAGTCCGAGTTTAAAATTTCAGTAGGCTTGTATGCTGGATCCTAGTCTAAAGAGGACACTGAACACACAAGCCACCTAGCTGCCAGCATTCTGTATGATATCACTCACAAAAAAACTTTAGCGTTGAATCAATCCAACTTCAAAACATTGTTTACTCTTTAGTCTTGAAGCCTCGTGGTAAGTTTGTAAAAAATCACCAGAGCCATCGTTAGACAAGTTAAGAGTACTGTACTTACCTTGACCCGGGACAGGAGGAGCCAAAAGTTTCGCATACGGGTCGAGAAGGACATGACGTGCCTGATATCGGTTACCACTTTCCCAACTCACATCTCCCTACTCAAAACAAGATATGACGAGCCACTGGATTACTATCATCCTTAAGCGGCCTGCGCAGATCCTCAATTGACAGATCAATCCTAAAAGCCACGTATATAAACACTTTGTGTGTGCAATGCCCAAATCGTCTAGGATAACATCTACCCATCTCGTAGTGGAAGTACTTTCATTAGCGATTTCACAGTCTCCTCACTGATAAACCTGACAAAGACCTATAACCAGCCATGATCAAACTGCAAATGCTCCACTTACCACTTTCTCTACTTGAGTGAAAGGAACACAAGAGTAGATAGGATAGAAAATCGAATCTTGAAAGGAATTAAAAGCCCTGCAAGGAGTCGGCATATGGACTAACCTTACAACGATATCCATATCGCGTAAACTCGCCCACCTCCACCTCAGCGTGCCACACATCTCCAGTTCGGTGGACTGACCTCTCAAGGTCTATCTCCATCTGTGAGTTGATCAAAAGGAAACGTTACTTACTGAATGAGTTACTGAGATGAAGGTGACTGAATACTTGGTACACACCTATATAGAACCTAGAGAGATTGTTGGTATAAGATTATTCATATTGATTGAAAAAACCTTCAACGGTGTAAACGGAATCCTACTTTATCATAAGGGAATGACAGAAACTTGAGTTGACAGTGCTTTGGGCTACCAGAAAACCAGTAAGTTTACAAGAGACGACTCACACACGGTTGTGTAGAATCGTCTTTATATAGACATAAGATGACGTTCCTTGCGTTCTTTGAGTACAAAGAAAAATTCACCAAGCCATCCTTCTTCCACGTGAGGCCTAAAGGCTCCGGCTGCCCCTTACCTATCCCGACAGGGATGCAAAAGTTTTCACCGTGAGCACTTCTGAGGCAGCAGGACAACAAAGAAAGATTGTCTCAATGATATTATCTCAAATATTGGGATCATAAGCATCCTATACTACTGATTATATAAGACAGAAGTTTAGAAACTCCTGTTGAAAGGACTTAGCGACAGCCACTGATGATAGCAGTGGTTAGATACATTGATACATAAAAAGTTGAATACATGTTATCTTGAACTCTTGTAAGTGAGTAGATACCGATTCAACGACAACTACTTAGAGGAGCTTTGAGAAGAATCACTACTATGTATTTTATAATTTGCACATACAGCTAGGAATAGATCCAGACCTTATCCAAGTTGCTTCCCCACCATTCTGAGCTGGTCTGAAGAGCACAAATGCTACGTAAAATGGCGTCTTCGATGCATCGAAATCCAATTCCAATGTCCGAATACCCCTCGAATCACACTCCATGGGAGTTCGCATAGCCTCAGTCCTGAGAAATGGGAGAAAGTAAACAAAAGGAAGTAAACAATTACCGAGAATATAGTCCAGTAGGTTGGACTTGGAAAGACAATCGAAGTCAAGCTACAAGGACAGAAGCCAGTTCCACTCTATCTCATCTTGGATGAAAAGTTTATCACTTACTTTCCTTTGGTATACTTCGTCCCTGGAGGTGCATCTTTAGGATCAAGCAGCACCCAGTCGGTTGAACTGGAGCGGAAGAGTCCCTGAACCATCAATCAATAAATATGGGTAATATTCTCAGTAGTACATCTTGACTTTCGCGGCATTTCCATCTTGACTTCGTGCATGATGGCCGTGAACACAGATAGACATTCTGTCCTGTTTCTAATATACAAGTGTTGAAGAAAGAGAAACTTCTCCTTGTTTGTAGCCAATTTTTTAAGCTACAGTCTTCGCTTTGGGGCTCAGACAATAGGGGTATATTGCAACTTATTCATTGTGGTGAGAGAGTCAACTCTACATAAAAAGTTGAATCGGGCTGCATATAGATTTGAAGCTGAACAAGCAAAACATCAGCGCTCTCATCAACAAAGTCTTTTTCATAGCATTCCTTCTGGGGAAAAAAAACTCGGTGCAAGTGTTACTTACCCAATGGAGTAGCACAGGCTCCTGTTTACCCATATCAAGTTGAACACTCAGGCTGTAGATTTTAGGCGTAGTCTTTGTAACTGTCGCTACAACCTGCAAGTATCAGAACTATCCCATCAAAACAGCCCTCTTGACACACTGATGTCAGAAGTTCTGCACAAGCTCAGACCTATTTGTGGAAAACAACTCCAGACGATTCTCATTTTGATGGCGATATGCAATTTGCTACTTTAGGAGTGTCTCATGAAAGTCATTTGTCATAAGCACTCAAATTTCTTGTGCAGGTCCAGTTTACATTCTATGAAGTACTCTTGACTGCCAACATTGTGCTGAAACTAACCCCGCCCACGATTCTGTTCACTCCCCTACAAAGAGAGGGTCCTCACTACCTAGCGTGAAATTCGTCCTCGGATCTTGAAGTCTTGAACTAAGATCAAACTTTAAAACATAAGGGATGAAAACGAAACCCTTGAATAATGAGAGTCAAATGACCATGACATGGATGTCACAAACGTTCCCGAAGTAAGCGTTCAGTGCCTCAAGGTTGTGCATTCAAAAATCGACATCTTCTAAAGTCATGAAAATGAACTGTCTCATTCAGGTCGCACCTGACCACCTCCATCTATGTGATATAAAAAATTTTTGGACCTTTCTGGTTCCAGCATTGGCAAATTGGACTTCTTCGCCACTTTCCCGGTTTTCAACAATTCTGTCGACGATGGAGAGACCGTCTGCTTCCCGTCCATGGACTTATCTTCACTTTTGATCAAATCTTTCCACGATGGCCTCTTGTCGGTTTTTCTCATACTGTCCACATTATATGCCTGACTCGAGTGTCCCCCGATCAGCTCCTCGCTGCTTTTTTTGGCATTGTTTATTCGATTCTGTTGTAAATTTCTTCCGCTCTTCTGCGGCGCTTTCGTGATCGAGGCCAATTTACAATGAACGCCATAAGCCTCGGAATCCTTGCTAGCGAAATTGCGCGCAGCCGCCGTCCTGCCTCCGTCACCACTGATGCTCCTAGCGGGCGATCCAGACTACAGACAGACAGGGTTTCACGAACGTCAGTACGTCATACTGAAAAATTCCCATCGATCGCATGAACACAATCCGACGATAGAATTCGGGGAACCCGCTGCTTCTCACCTTGCAATGCACCTGGCGCTGTATAGTCCACGGAGAGCCACGGATGCTCCCCACAATCTGCATGACTGAGGAATTCATACGTGCGCAAGGAAACACTCTGTTCTCGCACTACGATAACCTCGTCGATTCCTCTTCCATCTCCAGAACCAGACACCCGCTCCACCTGAATGAATCCACAGCACGTAGTTAAAATTCTCGACGCCCAGACCGACCGACTGATGGACACATGGTCGCCATAGCTCAGACGGGGAATCCGGAGGAAATTCGTCCTCCTGTCCGGTGGCGATGCAGAGATTCGCCTGCCTACTTGTCGAAATGAGATGTGGGCCGTGATGCCGCCGGTGTCAGGAGCGCGTAGCCATGCCTCGGCGAGCGAGACCGTGCTGTTTGTTGTAGTGGACTGTTGCGCTGGAGTGGGGCAGCGGCCAGCTGCTGCGAATGCGCGAGGGGCATCAGTGGCGAGCAGGCATCAACTTCCTCCTCTCGCTCTCGCGCTGCTCGCATGACAACAGTTCATGTGCTGCCACTTGGGCCTCGTTCCGACCCTCCATTAGTCCCCACCGTTCCCCTGCCCCCCGGCCCCTAGTTCCCCTCCCTCCTCCCTTCTCTCCCCGATTCGAAACATCCCGTATATTCCCGTCTCGATACTCTGTCCCCCCTACTTTGGCTACTTTGTGTAGCTGGTGGGCTCTGGTCAATCATTGCAGTACGACGGTGTGAGGAGTTCAGCACCGCTCCACAAAATCTGCAAACCACAGTTTGATTCTAAGGTACATGGTTCCAACCCTTGAATCATTTTCTCTCCGCTACATGTACCGAGAGTTCATATCAAGTACTAATAGCAGGAAATGGAGCTCGTGGACATTAAGACAAGACGTGAGTATCTCGTCGGGATCTGAGAACAACCTTCGAATAATGGTATTGTGATGAGATATATAATTTAGATTCAAAATGATACGAAAATGATATTTAAGGCTATACCATATATAGCATTGCAGAATGCTCAAGTTAAAACACTAGAAACAAGTTTGTCTAATAGATTATCAATCACAAATCATATCGTTGATGTTGAATGGGTTATTGGCAGAACACTTTATATGTGGCGTGGGCCACATATACCACAAATAAGCTATTTGTGGGTTGTAAAAAATGTTAAATGTGGTAGGTTGTGGCTCCCGTACAAACTATCTAAAATTAAAGATGACATGGAACTAGGATTTGTTTTACAGTGGTTTATGATGCTAATTGAACTCAATGGCTTGCATTCTCTTGAAGTGTTTCGTATGGAAAATTCCCTCGAGCGAGAAGTCCGTAAAAGATACTCTATTCTCGTTCTTCTCCCAATTACTATTGAGAAGTCGCTCACCACAGTAGAGGTGCCAGGAAATGCAAGTTAGAAAACCGTCCTTGCATTCGAATCCATCCGTCTTCAAATGAAGTCTGGTGATCATACGAATCAATCACTGATTTAAAAGTTCTCTCTCGTTGATAAGTCACATGTAGCTCTTGTTCAACAAGATCCACATCAGCCAAAAACCATCGAAATTTCAAATGAGGTGATTGAGTTCGCACAAAGTGAGCAAACTCACGACCACGTAGCGCCACAAGCTGATGCGGAAGCACTTGAGGCAATTTAGAGGCAACTTCATTTGAGGAATCCCGCTCAACGAAAATTGCAATAACGTCGGAAATGAGATTTTCTAAACAAGTCGCAAGATACTTCACAACCTCAGCCATTACCTCAACTCCAGCTTCTTGAATTCGATCTAGCACAAAACTGCCAAGGTCATCGAGCATTGCTTGCATATTTGTTAGCTTCAATGAAAACTGACGATCATCCGAAAGTACTTCAATTTCAAGGTCGATCGCGTTAGCATCTTCAGGAGATAGAGGCCCAGAAGCTTTGAGTAAACGTGCCAATGTCGAATGCAAATTCAGTATACCCTCACGCTGTTGAGATACCAAAGTTGTAAGACCTTCAAGGCTCCGAAAGGTAAGTGTCGCCTCGGTTGAAAGTTTCTCAATGAACATGATGACAATCCACCAAGCTGGATTGGAGGCACACGAAGGCTTCTTCAGGTGGAGATAAACATGCAGAGCGACATGGTGAACCTTGAATCAGGCTAAGACTTTGCTCATGGTTTCCCATCGAGTGTTTGCAACTGTCTTGGCCTTGGTCTGCATATCAAGTATGAGATCCTGCTACCGCCTCAAATATGAGATTAAGCCAGTGAGATCCGAGTAGAACTGTTCGCCCATCAAAGCCGCGAAGAAATCCTGAAGCTTGATGTCAAGCTGATGTAAACCACACCAAAGACGGTAGAAGCCCGAAAGAGCAGCTTGTTGGAAGCGAGTTGCGACGTCGTGAACACGATCCGTCATTTTGCGCTCTCCATCAGTAGAGATGGAGATGATCATTTGTTTCCACAGAGGAGCGATAATATCAAGAGCTCTACAAGCGTGCAGAAAAATCTGTTCACCAGTATGGCGGCTGAACATTGGAATCGCCAGCAAATGAAAGTTCAAAATGGCACCTTTTCAGTGCAAACGGATTCGGATGTCCAGATAGGAGGTTGCCATGTGAGTAGACATATCCATTGCGATAAAAAAAGTCCACATTTGAGAGAGCAGCTCGAGAAGCGTTTGAAGATTCAGCGCACAAATAAAGCGAGCGTAGCTAGTCACTTTACCTTCAGATGCAGAGCCAATAGAGGCCAAGCCAGTGCGCTCCTTCGTCATCATAAGAATTCTCGAAGTCATTCGAAAGGAAACGCCGACGCTGAGGTAATCAGCAATTAGATTAAACTAAGCAGTATTCTTCAAGTCAATTCAATATCTATCAGCGACGAAGTCATTGTCATCGTGAGCAGTAGCATTGGCTTCTAAAGGATTGATCACATCTTCAAAAATGTTGAGAGCACGCTTCTTCGTAATCTCATCGTTCGAATCATCAGGATGGAAGAGCATCTCTCCGATGATAACATCAACAATATGCTTGTTCACAAACAAGTGAGGAGGAACTTGAGCACCAGAAAAATGTGAGTTGATAGTGTTGCGGTGAATCACAAGAGCATTGTCGTCAAAGAAAACAGTTTTTTCAATAGGTGTCAGCTCACTGTACTCTTTCCAGCACCCTGGATGCTGTGACACCATGTGACTCCGGTAAGTGTCGACACGAAAGTGCTTCTTGAAGTACATAACAATAATACGTTATTATTATTAGACGTCAAGACGTGGATACTATAGCATTCAAAACAGCATCACACTCACAGACTTTGACACCAAATTCAATAGAATGCTCTGTTTTATAAGGTGTTTGACGCTTGGTAGCCATTGAAAGTATAACAAAATGAGAAAGACTTTGACACCGAAATCAAGTGAATGCTCCGTTTTATAAGGTGTTTGACGGTTAGCAGCCATTGTTAGTATAACAGAATGCGAAAGAATGACTCTCGAGCAACTCGATCTAACAGACTTTAACAGACTTTATTAGTGGCGCCGCGCAAAAGTTCTAGGTGGCTATTTGAGGCGTTTCGAACCAAATCACCACATTTAAAGTGGTCTGGTTATTAGTACAAAGCCACGGTTCTAGATGAAATATTTTGATTTTCATGGATGAACTCAGACTAAATCTAAGTAACCAAAATTTGCAAATAAAAGAATATGCTAAGAGGTTGACTTTTTGTACCATATCCAGATTGTGATATAAGTAGACTAGAATAAAATAAAATATGTGCATCTAATTTTAATTTTGAAACGAAACTAAAAGAATATGTACTATTTATCAACCAATATTATTTCACATAAATTATCACTTGCAATGGCATTGTGATCATTTAAATTATAGTTGTGGCCTAAATTCTCACATGTCATTGTTTTATTGTTGTGATTTCATTTAGGTCAGATTGAAAATAAGCTTATCTAAATATTTTGAGATAATTATGTTATATATATTTTTGATAATTATCATAAATGTGTTTTTTATCTATAATGTGCTTAAAATATTTCAAAATATTTCGAAATTATATAGATTATCAACATAATTACAATGTAATAAATCCTTTTTTTCTTCAAGTTATATTTCAAGATAGATGAATTTTAGTAAGCGGACAACTTGCAGTTATAAAATTATATTTTCAGATAATAATTGCACTAAAAAGATTATGAATCTATAAACAAAATATATAAAACTCATACAAAAAAAATTTCCCATCATTTGGAAATGTGTTAATTAAATATTTCTCGATTAATAAAATTACAAGATCTTTTGAAAGGTAATCTTTTTCACTGTTGATGTAATCCGGGTATCTGAGCTTGAAACATTGCAATGAATGTTTGCACCACACAACCCAGAAATTGATGGTAGAAATGCGGACAACAAGCACATGTGTGTGCTTCCACATTTTGCGATTTGGAACTTTGAGATCTGTAGGCTCTCCGACGATTAAGACAAGTACGCGTTGCAATTCGGCCATTGTAAGAATACATTGCATTACTCCCATCTTACCAGTAAATACTTTACCAACATAGAAGCAGGAAATGCGGTGTTGAATTGGGCAACTTGAGCTATATGTAGGTGTAACTTCGAAAATTTCTTGACTGGATTACACAAAGTTGATGGGCGTATCGACTACAATTCAACTCCTGCATCTTATACCAAAAAATACGCATCAAGATAGAATCTACCATAACTGACTGACTGCAATTTAAAATTTTCGCACTACCAAGGTACACATTTTATCTTACAGATTGCCTGGTCGATTCAGTGACCGGATTGAGTAACTTCGAGCACAAGGTTCGAAGCACTCACTAGTTTCGATTGTTAGTGGTTATGTACAGATCTCCACATCGTCCTGTATCTTGCTTGTCTAGCTGAACACTATGTTACTGATATCTGGACTGTGCTTGTTGCTTGCTTGAGTACATCACACGGTTCTTGAGTAGATATTAATCCAATCATAAATTAAGCTGAAGCCTGTCTCCAGTCTGGTAATAAAGTCGACTGGAGACATTGCCTACAACGTATATTTTGGCTAAAAACTTTCACCTGCAAGTTGCAGTATCTCTCCAATACCAGGATTTGCACGTACACAAGGGGACATGAGACTCTCATCTCAGCCGAATGGATGATCTATAGGACACAAGTGGCCGCGTACGTGTAGGCAATAAACAGCTTCCTATAATCCCATCATGCAATGGCGCAGATACAGATCATCCCGAAAACATGACTAAATGAAGGGCATCAGGAAATTCGCCAAGATGCAGCATGCTTTCTTTTCCTTCCCGAAGGGAAATCCTTTGGTCCAGACAAAGATTTCTGATCAATAGCGAAGAACGATGTAGTTGGCTCCATCCGTTTTCTGTATACGAGAAATCTTCTTGAGTATAGCCGCAAATGCTGACTTATCCTAAACAACAAACCAAAGGAGGTCAGAATAAGACTTCATGCCAGTCAGATTTTCAAAAACAGGCATACACAATTGCTCGGTGAAGTTCGAGTCAATCCGGGGCTTGCGTGGTAACAGACTGAGGCCAAGTTATGGTAGAACACCATTACTACGGCAACGCATTTTCGTCTCCACCGATGAGCTCGCAAAGCTCCCGTAGAGAAATGTATAAAACTTGTCAAAGTTCTTCTATCGGCACCCATTTTTTGAAGACAATGTAATTTTCGTTTCTTACACACCAATCATACACGTTCTGTCAGAGTATCGTGATTGACCACGAAAAAGTGGTGTCGGGCAGAGACTTTTAAAATCAGTGGATCTAGTCTAATACATGCAGATTATATCTCTCATCCAAGAGCTTCCTAGCAACAAGATCCTTGATATGAAGTACATCCATTTCCAAAATCTTCAACGAGATCTAGCGAACCCTCACGCCTTTGCAGTAGTGAGTAGATATGTAACGAAGAAGGCCCCAGTGTAATATAATCACATATCGCATCCTCAAAGACGAACTTACCTCTGGTGAACGAAGTCTGCTTCGAAACTTGGCTACAAGATCCGTGCTCTTGATAGGCCCAGTCGATTTTAATACTCTCATAACCTCATCTTCTGTGACTGCCTGATTGGCAGGTGGAGCAGGTTTTGCAGCTGCGGCTGCTACTGGAGCCTTGGCAGATGGTGTGGTGGCTGCTTTAACGGCTGCATTGACATCCTTTTTGCTTGCAGCAACAGGTGACGTTTTTGGCTGCAAGTGAGGCGTTTGTCTCACAAATATTCAAAATCAAGTTGTCTCCACATTTCCTACAAATACTGGCTCAAATCCCTAGATACTTAACACTTACAGACTGCAAGAACGTACCACTGCCACAGACTAAAACTAAAGCTATGAATCAGAATAGGGAGGATAACTTTCTCAAAAGCTCCTGCATCAAATTGAAGTTCCCACCCAAGCCTTACATACACCTAAGTACGTAATCAGCCAGTACAGCTTAAGTGCCATCAATGATGTGTCCACTTATAATAATCACAAAAAGCGAGGGAAATTGGCAGACCTCGGCTTTAGCCTTTTTAGCTGAAGCTGCACCATTGGCTTTTGACTCGTCAGCTGCTTTCCTCTTGCCTTTGGCTGCCGATGCAGAAGCAGGAGTGGCCTTGGCAGCCGCTGCGGGTTTTACCGGGGTACTCTCCGCAGGTTCATCTTTCGGTCCATCCTTGCGTGTGGGCGCAAGCACGGGTGAAAGACCAATATCTTCGTTATCCAAATCGACCTAATTAAGACATTCAGAAGATTCAGTTAAAACTACCTCAACGACAAACGAAGTCAGAGAAAGACTTTTGAATGCAGTAACTCGTTGACTAGAATTTCATTTAAAGATGATGGTTCTTTAAATTCTCCACGCCACATAGTGAAGAAACAAACACAACGGACCTAGGTATGCCTTAAACGATATGAATAGATAAAATATCTAGAGAGAAACATTTCGAACTTAGAAGTGTTAGATGGTGCATTACATCTTCATCACCATCCTCTTCATCTTCTTCTTCATTGGAATCGTCCTCTTTCGCTGCTTTTCCAAGCAACTTCTTCAACTCTTTCCCAGACTTACTCAGACCACCGGGCTCTTCCTGTGGGTTTTCTTGTCCCTCTTCTTCATCTTCCTCCTCCTGCGCAAGGAAACCATATCCATCGATCAGATCACATGCTTTTGAGCTGGTGAGCTCTGAATCAAGTTTCACACCACAAGAAGTAAGTACAATCATCAGTTGATAGATTGATCACATCAAAAGTGGAAGTTGCAGGACTTAGTACATGTTGAACATAATAGCAAGGCAAAATGAAAGAACGCATTGTGCAGCAAAACATTTTTCTTGGCTGTTCTCAAGCCCGGGAAAAATTGATGAAAATAATAAATCGCCTTTTTCCCTAAAGAAGAGAACCGATCTATGAACTGAAACTCCAAAATATCTCGAGAGTTGTAATTGCAAATTGAAAGTGACCGACAATTATCCAACAGAACATCGTCTACAATTAGAAGCAGATATATACGGTTGATACTTGACGTCGTAACTTGAGTTAGTGACGATCTACAGGACCACCAATTTAGAAAACTTCACAACAAGCTCCAAGTTAGTTCAATCCTTTGATTGCACACTTTCAAGCATAAGCGATGCTCTTTCTGAGATTGGCAGAACATCGTGAAGACAAAATTCAGCTACACGCTGTCAGCACTACAAGATCAAAAAGTGAGGTATAATAATGAAAACGAGGTGCATACCTGCTTGATTTCCGGGGGAGGTGGAACCTCTGGATTTTCCTGATCAATCCTTTCCTCCGGATCATTACCAACAGCTTCATCGTCGTCTGTGAATGTTTCTTCATGCTCCCAATCGTCACCTGCGCCAATGTGCAAGAGTATTAAACGGAGAGAGAAAACACGGGTTATTCGTTCGATCTCATCCTACCATGGCAAACAGCAATGATATCTTCATACTCGTTCAAAGCTTCGCTCCGACTTTTCAGACGGAAATCGGTCTCAAAGCTTTTCGGATCAAATCCACAATTTAGACAAGGCACATTTTGCACACTCAACTAGGACAATGAAACAAACACAATGAGGATGTCAACTGATGGTTACTTGCCTTGAGACAACTCCCTTCACTGGATTACTCTCGTCTTAGGCACACAGAGTCTGGGGAAACATTCTTGAAGTGCTTGATCAAAGACTAACAACAAAAGTTTACTTCTCCCTTGCTTGCCTGACGGCTGGAACTACGTTAATAATTAAATATCTCTGGTCCGTGATGCTGAGAGCTCACCTTTCTCAGGTTCCTCCTCATCCAGATCAAGATCCATGGCGGGTTCTTCGCCATCTTCATCACCACCTGCGGCATTCTTCAAGCCGAGCCTTTTGGTCCTAGCTTCTTCCTCATCCTCGTCCTCTTCCCCTTTGTCAGAATCGGCGCCTACTCCATCATCATCATCTTCGGGTCCCTTCCGCCTGCCACTGGAACCCCCACCGCCAGTTACCTTTTCGTCATCCGCAATCCCACCAAAGGCGGCAGCCCCTGTGTTGGCAGCTTTCATCATCCACCGCTGATATCCATCTGCAGTCTTGCGCCTATTTTTCATTTGTTCTTCTGCCTCCTCCAGCGTTAGTTGCTTATACTGTGCTACCTTGTGAAAGTTGTACCTGGAAGTAGGAGAGAGACGAAGTAGTATAAGTTTCAATGGAAGTAAGTGAAAACGACGACCAAAATGTCAACGGGCAAGTGAGCAATGCAATTAACAGGAAGCCTGTATGATCCCTAGTGAAGAGATGCCAACGATATGTACTCATCTCTACACAGACCGGAACTGTATTTGAACTCAAGAATCCAAGTGGTAACTGGAAGTAGCAAAGAGACCAAAATGTATGAGTTTATATGAAAGTAAGTGAAATTGCCAAACAAAACTTTTAATGGACAAGTGATGTGATGTAATGTAATCAACGGGAAGCATGTGTGAATTCCCGAGAACAGAAGGCAACAATATGTGCTCGGCTCACGTCAGTACTAAAAAGATTAACCAAAATGAATGTGCGAATTATGAATGTGCGACAACCTCATTACATCATGCAAATCCATCGATTGCGATATAATGCGAATAGTACCAGTTTCCGGCTGGTAGGGCCTGGAAATCATTTCCCGACATGATTAGAAGAAAGTAGGTTGCTTGCTGTCCACCTTCCAATTGCCCTGTGAATTGTTGGACTCCGATATCATCCTCCAATATCCAAGGCTTGAGCTTAAACTTTTCCTACAGATGAACATAAAAGAGAGGTGAGAACGTATTAAGAGGTGGTATTCGAACACCATATACATCGCAATCAGGTAAAGATAGACTGGAAATCAGACGATAAGCCCTTTCGGGGGTTCCTTAGGGACCGATTCACTCTGCGTAGATTGACTGAACGCAGAAACCCTTGAACTTTCGGCGATCATGTTTTTCACACTCACGGCATCAAGATAGATGGAGCTGAAGCTCGCGCAACGATATGATATGTACAGAACTGCGTTATCTGAGCTCGAAATCAAGCTTTCATCAAACTGTTCTAAACTAATTCATCACATGAGACATATAATGTCCTTACTGATATTTGCATGTCATAGCCTGAACACAACCTACTCGGACTGAGCAATATATGCAGGAGCCGACAGAAAAGAGAGGCGAGAGGGAGGACTGTTTAAGAGTTGGTCAACTTCATTGTAAAATTCCTACGCAATATGTTCTTTCGGAGCTTCGAAATTTCAGCGCACACATCCTCACTAGCTCATATTTGGTAGAACTACAGCGAAAACAAACATACGAGACAGTTGCACCAAAAGAAGTTCGAACCTTCAGCGATTACTCTGCGCCAAGAAATAATTCAGACATTTCGCAATGGCTAAAGAGAACATGTCAAGTACTAAACCTTTTGGGTATCAGTGAGTTGTCGCCCCTGAGCTCCGTCTTTCTGCATGGCCCACTTGGTCTCACCAGTCTTCTTCTTTGCAAAATGCGGGATTCCTTGATGGAACCGTCCTACAAAAAATTGCTTGGAAGGAACATGATTTTTCACACTGTATTCCTGCATCGACAAGATCAAAATACATGTCCATGCTAGGTTACTTGCGCTGCCATGGAATGAAAGCGCGATATCTAAGAAGTATGATACTGGAGTAGAGCAGTAATCTATAAGTTTCGAGACTGATAGGTCCATAACTGAGATAGCCTGCATATTTTTCATCTTCTGTCTCAGCCTGACTGAAGCATGCAGAAACACAAACTACATCTGCCACATATGCTTCACGACCTTTTCAAGAACACTTGAAACAATGTAGTGGATTTCAAGCATTGACCTAAGTTCATGGTTCCAACTTTGTACTTCTTCTTGAGACGTGAACGAAGACCCAAACATAATGGCGTCTCATTAAAATTCCGCAGGTGAGGTATCGTCTCTACAGAATGTGCCATCTTGTGTTCACACTGTTCGTAAAGACTATGAAGAAGTACCCGAATGAGCCGCGTAATTGGAAGACCGCACTCGGTGCATGAACCACCAGTCTCGACCAAGGACTTTCCACAAGGTACACATATTGTCATATGCTTGCAGGTGCTGCCATAAAGATCCGTGGTCGTCCCGCATCCATTGCAATTAGGCTTCAGCACCAGGGGGTCTATCGTCATACCTTCAAACCAATTAATTTACTCTCAGAGCTGAAATTATTTCAAACCCAGTGCCTCCAACAAGCCTTGCGTCGATGCTTTCTTCTCCGTGCACGATCGTCGACGAGCACAAAGAGAATGTTTATCGATCGTCTCTTTCGTCGAAGCTTTTTGATTGCAGGACCAATAGGCCTGCCATGCGCCCAAATGCACCGAATACGTCAAATACTAATAGAAACCACGACAGATTATGGGGAGTCTCCCGGTAGTCACTTGGAAATGGTTTGTTCGTGGACACTGATTAGGCCTAAAATTAGAAGAAAGGCCACCTGTTATTACAAACCTGTCCTCTACTTACTGACGAGACCGAACTTTTCGTCTCTCTCTATTTTGCTTGTCGTAAATTCTAGATGAAAATCTCATATTTGAAACGTATTTTCTGGTGCAGTAGTTGTTTCCAGGTTCCTGTGCATCCAAATTCTAAGCTACACTGCTCTCCCTGGAACACCTGTTTCACGCTAACCCTGTCCTGCGGGTGGACGAGGGCAAAACTAAAGTCGAAATTTAACCAGATTCATTACTCTTGATTACCATTCCCCTCGTTCTCCTCGTCAAACTGCCCTTGAACCCGTACGGCAGACTATTGCGGCACCATTTCCCTGCACATGTCGAATGGAAACTCCACCACTCCCAGTCAACAACACGTACTCGATCGCTTCTGCTAACAAAGAACTCACTCCTCAACGATTATTGCCGACGAGCCGAGGACCATCCTGTGGCTTCTCATACTACCACCCGCGGTCGCTGTAAGACGCTACACCGAGCCACATCCACACGCTGCTGTCCTACAACATTGTCTGCTATTTCTCCGTCTCCAGCTCCACTCACAACTCGGCCATCGCGGCAGAAAATTCCCTCTTTGGTTCGGTGCACCACCTGCTGCGCAACGTCGAGAATTGCGCCAAAATCGCGACGTCGATCGCCGGAGCGATCAGAAAATCAAACGAAGGCTCGCACATGCGCACCTATTATTGCGGACCGCAGAACGAAGAGACAACTGCAGTATCGACGGACAACCCTAAACGGATGGCGAATTCGCGGAACCCCGTGAGACCCACCCGGTTCTTGTGTTGTGTACGTGCATATGTCCTCCCTTGGAATTCCTCCATGTACGAGTGACTGACTGTCTTGATGGATTCTTGCTGCATTTCTCGGTATCTATTGGTGGAGGGTACGTACGTACGGAGACTGCGCAAATTCCATGGGGAACCCGGTCGCCAGATGTTCGATCCGATGGTTTGCATTCGTCCATTCGTCGACGAGTCCAGAAGTATGCCTCGGGCTGCTTCGTCCGCTCGCCTTCCCCAGCGGCCCTTGTCGAGCATTTACGTTTGCGTCTGGACTCGCGCTCCTCTTGTCCATCTTTCCGCAAGGCCGCTTTAAACTTCCTTGTGACTTGGGAGGAGATTACGTCAGTTTTGCCGCAAACTTCTGCTGTTCTCTCAGTTCTCTTCCGATGCTGTCGCAAAATTTTTTCGCCGTTTTGGCGCCAAGTGGATTAGAGAAAAACTAGCACGAAAATGTCGAGCCCTACAGTGGAACGACGAAAGTATTTGATTAAAAAATTGACCTACAATATCTGAACATCAATTGTTCTACAAATAACAACAGCATCTTATAGACCTCATTAATGCGGACAGGAATAAATCCAACGGTAACGGGCTAGGAGAGTATCTGGCCAAATAAAATGACCCTCTGCCACTTACTGTACAAAATGTGAACTATGAAAATGAACCAGTATATGAATGACAAAATTTCTGATGTCATGTCATCTTCGGTAATTATCTCCCATGTATAGCACTAATTGGAGCTCTCCGTAAATACACACAATATTCTAGAGATAATGAAACTTATGTTGGTAAGTTCTCTCACGAAATATCAAAATCAGCTTGAGCATCCATATTACCATACGATTCCAAAGTTCACATAGAGGCTAAAGTAACAAAAAGATGATTTTTTATACAGAGTATGCTTTGAAACCTTATAGTCAGTCCAAGGAAAAAAATAATTTCCACTTTGAAACTTTATCTTGCCTATATCTAGTTGGAATATAAATGTTCATGTGTTATACTTACACACCAATGTTTATGAAAATTAAAAACTTTTATTACTTCATTGTATCATGCTATAAAATGGATTTCGTGATTTACTAGGTAGATATGCATGTGTAGTGACAAATATGTATTACGGAAGATATTGTGCAATTAGCAATGTTTTCACTCAAATTGGAACCAAAGTACTGGTGCACAATGCTGTCAAATTGTTAGACTTGACAAGAACTAGGGGTTAGTTTCAAACTAGAGCTCTCAAGGCTTTAGTTTCTAGGTTCAAGATTTGTTACAAATTCTCACAAGAACACAACCACATATACAAACAGAGACACATCAAATTGCTAACATGAACCTACACAATAAATGTCATACACAACATACATGTTAAACATGTACACAATGATCGATACGCAGATCGTACGCGATAACAAACATGTAACTACCACAAAGTTAAAAAAGTCTTCATTGATTAAAATCTTGAAATGTGTAACAGAGATACTTGACTAGTTCATATTTATAATGAAGAGCAAAACCTAAATCCTTCCTAAGAGTAAGCTATTTGAGTTAAAAAATTACTGAATTAATATCTACAATCTACTCCTTTAACACATGTGGTTGTAACAATAATCTCCATATTCCATATAATTATTGTATAGTAAATTTTTGAAAGAAATATAATAAAGATTACTCTTTGAACAAAATATAATTTAAATTAAGTCGTAGCCAAAATAAAGTAAAAATATATAGATATAACCAAAGATCTAGTAAATTTTATTTTTGCTACTCATGTGAAATTTGCAAATTAGCAAAATATCATCTAAAATTTTCCAAAGTAATAATTTTGATCAACACATGAATTATATTAAATTTATTGTCAAACTTGACTAACTCTATCCTTTTATCAAAAATTGTATCTATGATAAAATGATGTTTGATGTTAATGTGTTTCATTCTATTCTTTATCACGTGATGTGTTACAAAATTTAATTCAATTTGACTTTCACAATGAAGATTTCAATCTAAAATCTTCATTTTGATAGTCACAAATAATCATATGCAATCAATTAGCTTCTTTCATTACAATTACCTATTCAACTTTCATTGTGAACTAAAGTACACAATTCTGCACAATATATATTCAACTAATGAATTCATCATCAATTGTAAACACATATTTAAATATATTTTTTTTTTCCAGATCTTGTCCATAATTAACATGAATGTAACATAACAAAGATGTTTCATTAAAATCATCAAACAAATATCATGATCTTTGATAGTCAAAGAAGATAATTAAAATATAATAAGAATTTCACAAATATGTGTGCCATGTCATGACAAAATTGGTCCAAGCGATGAAAAAACATGAAGAAAATTGTTGGAGATAACATAGAAAACATAAAACGCATATAATCAAGTCACAGTCGAAACATGATTCACCACATAGGTAATACACAAACCCTGGTATATTAATACCCAGCACCGGTCATCCTCTTAACTAGTTTTAGCTAGGACTTGAGATCGCTTTTTAACCGCAGTTAACCTCAAAAAATATATCTAAGAGATGAAAACAATTTTGAAATTCTAAGCGCTTATTTTTACAATAAGATTACCAAGTATTACCTTCTTCTTCTCTATCTGCAACCACTTAGACTCCTTGCTCTACACAAACTAATGTTTTGCTGCGCTCAAAGCAAGTGGAACGAAGTATAAAGCAGGCTTCAAGTTTTTATAGAAATCCATCAATTCCACTCTATGGATGATTCATTACATGTTTCAACACAAATCCGTCAAAGAAAAAAATTTCAGTACTCAATTTTGCATTATCAAATCCTCGCAAAACGCTTGGAAGATGTTGTTCACAAGCAAAGTTCAGCATAACAGAACAAAAAGCAGCGACGGCAAAACTATGAACTTGAATGCAATCACAAAAGGTGACTTCGTTGTCTAAGATTTGTTGTAAATTAAACCTCAAAATTTCTTCAACCATGAGCACAAAAAAAGAAAAGAAGATATGAAAAAAAGCCATAGAACCTTCTTATTGGAGGAGAGTACGAAGGCTGAATTTGGCAAATCCACAAGCAATCTGATTATTCATTATCTTAGAAAACAGTACTGTATTGAGCAAGAAAAAACAGTTAAAAAACGCAATACTCCGAAGCTGGTTGCATGTCTGCGAGAGACGTGACTTTGTTAGCTTTCTTGGCCTCCCTTCTAGCTAGTCAGCATCAACATTTTCCTCCGTGCCACGTTGAATTCAAGGACAAAGGTTAATTCCATCGCGATGTCACACGTTGAGCCCGCCAAGTACGTCGACACATGTCATTGCCTCGCACACTTCCCTTCCGTCTTATCTTATGCTCTCGCATCATTGAACAATCCGTGGAAAAATAATATGACTGTGCAAAAAAAAGTTTCCTCCAGGCAATCCTTGCGTTGGAATGATAGGCCTTTTAGCACCAGCATCAAATTTCCGCCACAGTGATTATGATTTCCTTCCTTACAGTCAAGTAAGGACTTGCAACACGGCTGCGACGTAACAAATACCTACGCAAAACAGAAAGCAATGCAATGATGTGTTGCAAAAGTGCACTTTATTCCGCCAAAATCAAATAGTCTATTCTTGACAAACAAGCACAGCTAAACTCCTCTTCGACTAGGCAATACAACTCCTCCGTCTCATCGTTGGCGTTCCTTGATCAAAGTTGACGGAGCTTTCTTTGCTTGAAAAAATTCTCTAATACCAATTGTTGCGGATTCTCACAAGAGCACACGCAGATCGCAGACACAAGCATACACAAGAAACGCAAGAAAGAGAAAAGACACTAGCATACACAAGAAAGAGAAAAGAGAAAAAGTAAAGCCCAAAACGAAATCAGACGGAGCTGAATAAATTAGCGCGTCAGACGTGCATGGTATGTCCGGTCTCACGAGGTAGATTGACAACAAGAACAGAAGGGCCGTCTCAGACTTCCGTGGTCGGGCCGAGCGCAGAAAACACTTGCGATGCGCGGCAGCCGCAAAACTTAGCGGAGAAGGAAGCCGAGGATGGAACCGCATCTCCAGCGCGGTGGAAGAGAGCAGTGGAGCCAGGCGGGCGGGCATCGACGTGGTTCGCTGCGGTGAGAGCATGCCAGGGACGATCATTCGCTCGATGGATCCAGTGGCAGCGAGAGACAGATTTCTCTAGTACCTTCGGTCCGAACTCCAGCGGCTTCTGGTCATCTCGACGAAGCCTCACGAGGCCATGCGGGGCCTGGTGTGCATTTTATATAAGACATCCGGATGAGAGACTGGCGAGAGAGCAGAGATTGAGCAGTGCGGAGGATTTGTTCTGTAGAGATCTGTATAGAGAAGGTGGGAGAATTTCTTGGAGGAGGCAGGGAGGGAGGGAGGGCTTTAGAGAGCACTGACATCACAAAGGCCGAGGGATAGTAGGGCAGGGCAGCACGGCGACTCTCAGAGCGCTAGGAAGGGCGATTCCTGTGGCCCGGGGCGTTGCAGGAATGGCTGCGGAGGTCGGATTGTCTCGTCCTGTCGGTGCAATTCCGCAAATTGTCAGTTTTACTTCGTCGCAGAGTGCGCGTTCTGCGAGGAAATGTGTGAGGGTAGCTGTAGATAGGAGGGGGTTTAGCTCAGTCGATGGCTGTGGGATTCGTCTTGCCCGGGGTTCCAGGCTCGCTTCTGCCCGGCGGTTCGCTGTCTCTTCGCAATCGCACGTCGGACTCCGCCAACAGGAAGCTGTGAAACATCATTTCGCTGAATGTTTGCCAGCTCGCAGGAAGATTCATTCGACTCCTCGTTGTGAGGCTAGGGATGGAAGGGTGAGTAAGCCGTACGGAAATCACGAGTCTTTTAAATGCTGCGTCCTATAAATTTGACTGCTCGGCTCTGAGTAGTTGTTGTAACCACAGAGCAAACAATGTATGCTCACCGTCATAGCAGGCGACATTAAGTGTGTTTCGATTGTAAGATATTTAAAAAATTTGGCGAATTTTAAGTACCATGCGCGGTTGATAAACATGAAGGTTATGCTACGATTTTCTGGAGACATGACTAGCAATTGCTCGGAGACTTGCATGGTATTTGCACAACTCAAGGATGAATTCACCTTGATAAATTGTCGTTTCTAATGTGCCGTATTTTGTTAACAGATTAACCAAGCCGAGTTTACAGAGATGGCCTGGCAAGCCATCGTCGCCTCGCCTGATGTCGCCAAAGAGAGCAAACAACAAATTGTTGAAACCGAGCATCTAATGAAAGCTTTATTGGAGCAACGGAATGGACTCGCTCGTCGAATTTTTGCCAAAGCTGGCGTGGATAACACATCACTTCTTCAAGCTACCGAGCGATTTATTCAAAGGCAGCCTAAGGTAGACGTTCACAGCCTTTTTTTTTTCCATCTCGTCCATTTGGGTTTCGAGGTGAAGAAAGGTTCTTAAACCCATTCTCGTGTACTAAACTGCAGGTTATGGGCGACACCAGTGGCTCTATGTTGGGACGTGATTTGGAGGGTCTGATCGATCGCGCCAGGGGCCACAAGAAAGACTTGGGAGACGCCTTTGTGTCTGTGGAGCACTTAGTATTGGGGTTTATGCAGGATAAGCGTTTTGGGCAGCAACTGTTTAAGGAATTTCAGTTGACGCCGAAAGCTCTGAATGCAGCGGTTCAATCCGTGCGGGGTTCCCAGAAAGTGACAGATCAAGGTAAGTGGTTGGGAAAACCGAGCGGCTCGTCGAACAATTACAGTAAGAACATTATTCCGATCCACAGGTGTGCCCATTAGTAGTTCGTTCCTAGTTACATTAGTTGGGTATCTTCTGAAAGTTTCTCCGTCTACTATGTATGTTCCATGCAGCAGTCGTGGGCGTCTGGAACTCATGTCGGGAACGCAATTGTTCTGACGGGGTAGTTGCCTATGTACAGATCCCGAGGGAAAATACGAGGCCCTCGAGAAGTACGGGAAGGATCTTACAGAAATGGCACGTCAGGGAAAGCTTGATCCCGTGATTGGTCGAGACGACGAGATACGGCGTTGTATACAGATTCTTTCTCGACGAACCAAGAACAACCCTGTGCTCATCGGAGAACCTGGTGTCGGGAAAACAGCAATTTCTGAAGGGTGAGCCACGAAGAAACCCCGGCTTTGCTATTTGCGCACGAGATAGTAACCAGGGCAATTAGTAGTAGTTTTTGTTCACAACTCTGCAGATGAATAAGCCACTTTTCTTCTCTCGTGTCCTTCAGAGTTGTTTAAATGACATGAAAGTTAGGAGTCGTCCGGTTGAGGGATTTGAAGTCCATGCCTAAAGAGTTTTTTGTGCTTAAATGTGAATAGGTTAGCCCAGCGAATCGTGCAAGGCGATGTTCCCCAAGCTCTCATCAATCGCAAGGTAAGAGACTGCATGCAGAGTCTTGACCGTGTTTTATTCGTCCCGATCTTCTGCTGTCATTGGACGTGGATTGGCATATTTATAAAATTATGAAGTGGGTTCGTATAAGGGTCCTTCATTGGTTAGGAGACTTGTACTTTATAGTAGTGTAGCGATCTAGCTAACGTTCAGCTCCCAACTCTTGCAGCTTATTTCCCTCGACCTTGGTGCATTAATTGCCGGAGCTAAGTTCCGTGGAGAGTTTGAGGACCGTTTGAAAGCGGTTCTTAAAGAAGTAACGGATTCAGATGGTCAAATTGTCCTCTTCATTGATGAAATTCACACTGTTGTAGGCGCTGGTAAGATTGGCTCACTGAAGTAGGTGCAATTGTCATTACTTTGTAACATGAAAGTAGAGGCCTCTTGTGCCGGAGGGGAGCAAATGTTTTCGTTTTCGATCGTCTGTGTTGTAAGGTATATTTAGATTACGTTAGGAGCGTCTAGCAAGCCGCACTTTTATTTACTCTCTTCTTGTACATGATAATTTCGAAAGGCACCCTGTTGGGATTGAGTGTTTCTTTGGATGAAATAACCTAATCGGTTGATCCACATGCTTTTAATATGTGACTGAACAGGAGCGACAAATGGAGCCATGGACGCTGGAAATCTGTTGAAGCCAATGCTGGGAAGAGGAGAATTGCGCTGTATAGGTGCTACTACTCTCGACGAGTACCGGAAGTATATTGAAAAGGATCCAGCTTTGGAACGTCGATTCCAGCAAGTGTATGTGGATCAACCTTCTGTAGAGGATACGGTGTCTATTCTCCGTGGACTTCGTGAACGATACGAGCTACATCATGCTGTCCGCATTTCTGATAGTGCCTTAGTGGAAGCTGCTATGCTTGCCGATCGATACATAAGTGACAGGTTTCTCCCAGATAAAGGTAAGATATATGATTTCGAGTGCCTTTCACGATGTTGAGACTTGGTTTCGCTTGAGTTTGTACTTATGATACAAGTGAAATTTGTCTGTAAGTTTGGTCTTGGACTTTTTATGTATATAGCGCTCTACATACATATTTATGTTAGGGAGGAGAAAGAACTTATTGGTATTTGCTTTTTATTTCCAGCAATCGACTTGGTCGACGAAGCCGCAGCAAAATTGAAGATGGAGATCACCTCAAAGCCCACTGCACTGGACGAAATAGACAGGGCAGTTTTGAAACTGGAAATGGAGCGGTTGTCCCTGACTAACGACACAGACAAAGCATCACGTGATCGTCTTAGTAGACTGGAAAATGAGCTGGAGTTGTTGAAGGGCAAACAAAAAGACCTCACCGATCAATGGGAGCACGAGAAGTCTGTTATGACCCGAATTCAGTCCATCAAAGAAGAGGTGAAGTTTTGGTGCTTGGCGGTCTCCTCATTCAGGTCACTCGTTGTGAATTTCACTTTCATAGGAAGTATGTTTCGTCCTAGTGGCTGAAACTTGGAATGTCGACTTGACAGGTTGATAGAGTGAACGTGGAAATTCAGCAAGCCGAACGAGATTATGATCTTAGCCGTGCAGCCGAATTGAAATACGGAAGTCTTATCACACTTCAGAGACAGCTGGAGGATGCAGAGAAGGCTTTAACTGAGTACCAAAATACAGGGAAATCGATGCTTCGGGAAGAGGTGACCGGGAATGACATAGCTGAGATTGTCAGTAAGTGGACAGGTATCCCAGTCTCGAAGTTGCAGCAATCTGAGAGGGAAAAACTCTTACATCTGGATGTCGAACTACACAAGCGAGTCGTTGGTCAAGATCCGGCAGTTCAGTCAGTGGCAGAAGCTATCCAACGCTCACGTGCTGGACTTTCAGATCCCAACCGACCTATAGCAAGTTTTATGTTCATGGGTCCTACAGGCGTGGGTAAAACGGAGTTGGCTAAGGCCCTGGCTTCATACTTATTCAACACGGAGGAAGCGCTGGTGAGGATAGACATGAGTGAATACATGGAAAAACATGCGGTTTCGAGATTGATTGGTGCCCCTCCAGGTTATGTTGGGTACGAGGAGGGTGGTCAGCTGACCGAGTCTGTCCGCCGACGCCCATATGCTGTGATCCTGTTTGATGAAATTGAGAAGGCTCATTCCGATGTGTTCAATATCTTCCTTCAAGTTTTGGACGACGGGAGAGTAACTGACTCTCAAGGTCGAACTGTGAGTTTTACCAACACCGTCATTATTATGACTTCGAACGTTGGATCGCAATATGTCCTTAACAGCCTCGAAAATCCTATGGGATCTAAAGAGGCAGCATACGAAGCTATGAGACTGCGCGTGATGGAGGCCGCAAGGAATACCTTTCGACCAGAATTTATGAATCGTGTGGATGAGTACATTGTCTTCCAACCTCTTGATCGGGATCAAATCGGCATGATCGTCAAACTGCAGGTGAGAGATTCGCGCAATTCCTATGAGTTCACTTGTCATTCATTTTGTCTTCCATCTTTGCTGTTTCAGCATTATCTTTGCCGATTCTCGGTGAAATGCACCTCAACACTGAAGCATGTAAAGCTTAGATTTTGTTTCGGATCATGCGGTATCTACATACCGGGACTTACATGCAAACTGGTTTGAACATTGTCAGTTTTGACCTCGTTTTCTTGCACTTGTGCAGTTGGACAGAGTACAAAAGCGATTGGTGGATAAAAAGATTACACTCAATGTCAGCGAGAGTGCTATTCAACTCCTAGGGAGCATGGGATACGATCCCAACTACGGTGCCAGGCCTGTGAAGCGGGTTATTCAGCAGAGTATCGAGAATGAGTTGGCCAAAGGAATTTTGAAGGGGGAATTTAAGGAGGATGATGTAATTTTGGTAGATACGGATCTTACTGCTTTTAGTGGTGGTGCCTTGCCCCAGCAGAAATTGACATTCAGTAAGCAGGTGCCTTCAGAAGATAGTTCAGCCCGAGAGTCTGATGTGGATCCTTTGGCCTACGCTCCAAGCCGGTGATCCTCTGGTTATAGGGACTGCCATTTGTCAAAAGCTGGATGGATGTAGGGCGAAGGTGTACGTTAAGAAAACGCAGAGAGATTGTATTATAACAAGAGCTGCTCAAATGCTGCAGGCTAGAGCTATTTGAGCAGGCACATGCATCCAGTTAGCAGTGGTTTAGTGTAAAATGTACTGATAGAACCTTCTTACTCTTTGTGTATAGTAATCTTCCCATGTTGCAGATGTTAGTGCTGACGGTTCACTTGTAGCAGAGCCGCGGCAGATGTGGGAGACTCTGGCATTTGAACATGAGATGAGGCTTGGATGAAGAACGAAGCTTCCATCCATATCTGTGAAGAAGGAAAATTCATCTGAAATACAAGGTATACTAGCCAGGAAAAAGTTATGACCAAATACCATTCTACGAGAGTGAAGGCCTATATATGATCTTCCTTGAATTAAGAAATACAATAGTATTGTACGTGATGATTTATATATAAATATAAATATAAATGTTAATCCAGCTGGCTGAGATACGACGAATTTAAACAAAGGATATTTTCTTATACATCGAATAGTCAAATGTGTGAAAAATTTTCACAATCGGTCTCGAGAACGAAAGTATCTTCCTCACCGGACATATGTGTGAAATGATAAGAAAGACGTCTGCATGGAATAAGTAGCGACGGAACATGGGAATAAATGTAACCCAGACCACGTCTGGAGTAATGAAATCTATGCGAGAACCGTGACCTGCTCCTTCCAGGTCATGAGTCGTAGACGTTAGAATACGACCTGCATGCTCACGTAAACAAGACCCGTGTTCGAAAAGAACACTCAGACTGGCAACGAATTGACGAACAATCACACTTCCTCCAATCCGAGTGAGCAACCGTCTCTGTAATCCGCATTAAGTTTATCACTGACATGAGAGGAAACAAAGCTGAACGGACTGTTGATAAGACGGAAATTTGAACAAAATAGAGAAGCTGGCGAACACTTTGTATCCATCGGCAACGTCTCATTAGTCAGCACGAGTCCGAGGGAAGTACGTACGATGATCGCTTTAGTGTGGCAAGTTAACTTGCAACTTTGCTAAACGAGCAATAATAGGGGTACGTGCGAGCGATGCAGTAATGGGAAAGTATGGGAGGGAGGGAGGAAGGAAGGAAGGGAGCGAGAGGATCCAAACGAAGAAAGCGGGTGCTCTCCGCCGTGAGGTCCGGCAAAACCCCGATCACAGAAAAGAGCGGATGAAATTCGAGCCCCCCGCATTTATGAGCGGGATCGGAGGCAACGCCAACTTTGTCCAAACGCCAACTCGGCCGCCTCTTCTCTTCCTCCTCGTCATCCGAGACGAGCGTGGCCACGCGAGCTTAGCAGCAGCAGCAGCAGCAGCAGCAGCAGCGAAGTCACAACTCGAGCACCCGCGGAAGGACGGACCCGCGGGCACTCGCAGGGAAGGGCAGGGGAGGGGAGGGGAGGCCCACGGGACCACCAGCAGCACGAGGGCCTGGGCCTGGGCGAGGGCGGAGGCGAAGGCGAAGAAGATAGCGAAGCAGAAGCAGCGAGCGAGGCAGCGAGCGAGCGAGGGATAAGGAAGGACTCGGTGGAAAGAAAGAAAGAAAGACGGAGGGAGCTTGCGCTTTGCCCTTCCGAGTTCTTGTTGCTTGCTGCTGTGTTGCCGTTCACTGGCTGGCTGGCTGGCTGGGCCCGAGTTTGGCAGACAGCTTTGGCTGGTGGAGATTTAGGTCCTAAAACCCTTCAACCAGAAGCAAGCAAGCAAGCAAGCGAGCAACAGTAAAGCAACCGAGACGAGACATGTAATTCGAAGCCTGGACGCTGCAGACTGGAGAAGAACCACGACCGCCACGCAGTCTTCATCTGCTCCGATGGATCTCAGATGAGGTGGGCATGTTCTCGCCCGGTCTCTGGTCTGGCCTGCTCCTTGTGCAGTGTGCTGCCCGATGGGAGCCGTGTGACGAGATTGGCCGAATATTTTTAGAAGTGCGTTTCTCAGTGTGTTTGTGCTGCTCGTGGTTCTTCACAGCGAAGAGGGAATTTTATTTGTTCGCGAACGCGTTTTCGGAGTTTGATTGCGTGGGTCTGGTGCTGCTGAAGTTAGGTTTGTGTTTGTGGTGAAGTGAATTTTATTTTTCGCCTCTCTTGCATGCTTGCTGCAGTGCGAGCGTCGAAGGTAGATGACGGGCAGCCTCGACGGCAGTCGGTGGGCAAGGGAGAAACTCTGCAAGTGCGCGATTAGCGATTTGATATTGAGAAGAGAAGAGCAAGAAGCTGGCGCTCGGGGGCATTCCCGAAGATTCTGCTGAGAACGGGGATACTTGGGATCGAGGTGGAGGAAGAGGTGGCCCTTCTGAGGGCAACCCGCAAGGCATGGTTGGCACAATGCCGGATGTGCAACCTTTGGTCGATGAGTTCATCACGAAGCTCAACCGCAGGTGATCCTTCGGTCTTTGACCATATTCCGACTCATCCAAGCGACCTGAAAATTCGGGAAGTTGAAGAATCATGTCAGGATCTGTTGACTTGACAATTGTCGTAGGTCACGTGCTCCTTCCTTCGTAGGGTTCGCACGCTATACGGAGATTCATTCGTGGATTTCCCTTGATTATTCAGGCAGGTAGAAGGATCGTTGGACACAGCGAAACTCGCACTTGTACTCCTTCGCCAAGTAATTTCGGCTCAGCGCATTCCTCCAAATTCTCCTGCAAACACGCTTATCGAGGCCATAAAATCCGTCGGTGTGCGCATGATCGCGGCCAACCCAATTGGTCAGTATTTTTGTTCGTCAGCAGTGATTGTGAAATCTTGTCAATTTCGGTCGCCACATCTATGATGATAGTGTTTTCGACCCGTCGTACATCTTTTGGAAACTCTTCTGCTTATACTTTTGCCGATAATTCCACAAAGTCGAAGTATGTTCTGCCTGCTTACGATTGCTGATAAGGGTCCACTTCCTATTCTTAAAAATTCATATACATGAAACAAGCAACCGAGATCCGTCTATGATGATTGTTAAGAGGTCTTTACCACACATCAGTGGTGTGATGCCCAGGACTGCTCGTCCTGTCTCGTGTCAAGTGGACCTGACAACCTGGCACCTGATGCTGCTCTACAGAATTAGCTGTTGGCAATATTGTGAGGCGCGTCCTGCACATCATTCGCGAGGAGGATGCATCACTTGCTACAACGGTTGTCACGGGTGTGACTACCGCTGTCGATAGTGATGACGAAGATAATTTGGACATTCGGGAGCAGGCGAGTTCACATGCGGTGGCTGCTGCTAATCGAAGTGTTTTAAGAGCACCTTCTCTTCATAATCTACTTGAGTCAATGCCAAATCCAATCAGAGCTGATGTAACAGTTGCTTCAACGGGCGACTCAGATGCACGAAGCAGATGTAAGTTCCGTGATTTTTTGGCTCAGTTGTGGACGGCCCAGTCATCTCTGCACATTGACATCTAAGTCTCATAGCGAAGTTTGGAACTGCTTTTCGCATCTGTCCTTCTGTGGACTCATTGAAATTGTTTTACGAGTTCCGGTGTACTTCGTCATAAGATTATTCTTGAGAACCGAGATCTGTGTGTGGTAAGAAGGTCCTTGCTGTTTTATCAGATTTCGCTAGTAGAATTCTGTAAGTGGACAAAGACTCCTATTACTCGATGAGTAAACTCTTCAAATGCCTACTTCATGCAGCGGGTGACAAGAACTCTCGAAGTTGGAAGCTCAAGCACAATGTGATAGAGAGCATCAACGAATTGTTGGTGGAGCTGCAAGACTATCACTCGCAAGTTGCGGAGCAGGCGCTTGAACACATACATCAAAAGTATAATTCTCCTACATATGAATTTGCTCCTTTTGCTGCAGCTAATTTTCCTCTTTATTAAAGTTTTGTTTGAAGTGATGGATGATTTCGATGTTCGCGGGGGGTTTTTCCAATCTAGGGAGAGTTTGAATCATGATTACAAGGAGGCGAATGCCTTTTAAACCTGGCACATGGCAGATCATGTCTTCAGTCGGCGGGTAGTATCCGTAGGACATACTTTATCTAGAGATGGAGCATCCATGTCATATTATCGATAGTTCGTTTCTTTCGCAGTGAAGTCATCCTGACACTTGGTCGATCGCGGACGTTGCTGCACTTTCTGCTGGGAGCTAAGAAGAAAAGATCCTTTCAAGTAGTTGTTGCTGAGGGCTCACCGAGGTAAAGATGTTTCCAGAACCCTTTTTGTTGATTCTTTCTCTCCAGCCGAGAGAGCTGGTATCTTGTCGCTTTCATTACCACTCGTGTTTACTCGCTAAATGGGGGATTCATACGACTTTTCTGTATGTGAGCCTCGTTGTGATTTAATGCTTCACTTTTGTTAAGCAGATGTAATGGGTAAAAGTCATGAAGTTGATGATAGTCCGCTGTGTGTCGAACTTTCAATCATTATGATTCACATGATGCAGATTCCAGGGTCACAAACTTGCTAAAGAGTTGACTGCTGAGAAGCTCTCCACAACTTTAATCACAGATTCGGCCGTGTTTGCTATGATATCTCGTGTTAACATGGTACCTTTCACATCAGGCCTGCCATTGTCTTCCATGCTTGCTTCTCCAAAATTTCGATCACATATTAGGGCAAAATTTTGCTGATGACATGCGTCATCGTTTCAACTGTCTATTTTTAGAAGCATATCTTCGAAGGAAAATGGACCGGAACTTTAGGTTGACGGGGACTAGGTCACTGAATTTTTACCTTCGTGTATTTTTCTTTGAGTGGCTCGAAAGAGGCTGGTCCCTCACGCATGATTAAGCCACCTAACAATATTGCTAAACAATGGGTAATTTTTCGCGATGTCAAAATGAAGGTAATTGTAGGAGCACACGCTGTGATGGCAAACGGAGGGGTCTTGGCACCTGTTGGTCTGCACATGGTAGCTCTGGCAGCACGTCGACATGCAGTTCCATTTGTTGTTTTAACAGGACTGCACAAGGTAATGAGATCCTCCTTCACCTTGTTCCTATCACATCCCGCTTAACGCGGCTGTCCAAATTTTGCTACTTAGTATAGTAAGCATTAAAGACTTCAGTTCTAGCTGCCGAGATTTGGTACAAACAAGCGGGTATGATCGCGAGATCTTTTTTATAGATTCAGCCGACTTCTACTTACACATAATTCGAGCATTTGTTGCCATTTTGATACAAGGGTATCTTCTGCAAGTTTTTGAACGTATGCATATTTACACATTCTCTTTTTTCACGCTCCTCGAATATGTTCGTGCAGCTGTGTCCTCTCTATCCACACAATCCCTACTCTCTTCTAAATGACATGAAGTCGCCTTCGGAGGTTTTAGACTTCGGTGAATTTTCAGATTGTCTGAATGGAGCAACAGGCGGACCACAGTGTCATGTTTTCAATCCCACATTTGACTACATACCACCCGAGCTCGTGAGCCTCTTCATCACTGATACGTAAGTTTTCTATCTCATCATCTATCGCTGAAGACAAACACCTCCAGTACGGAGTTTTACCTCATTCGATTATCAAGTTGGGGATCCAGGATGAAAGTTGGAACTTTCTGATTATCTAACTGACGATCTTGAGCTTGTCTTGCAGCGGTGGCCACAATCCTTCCTATGTCTACAGACTGGTGGCAGAGTTTTACAGCCCAGAAGACATCGTGCTACAGTGAAGTAATAACTATGAGTCTGAAAACACCCTCTTGGCTTCCTCAGGAACAACTCATTTTTCTTTCCGTCCCCGATAAAAGATTGGTGCAGAACTAACAACCACTATTCTCTAGTCAATAGCTGTCTCGTAATTGCAATCATTGTGAGAATAGCGAAAGTTCTACTTAGAAAGCAGTCCCGTTTCCCTTCGAGCTTCTTGTAGCGGTGCTTGAATTAGTAAAGCTCTAGATTGACAGCCTTCTTTAGTGATGGGTTAGATTCCCTTATTTTAAGAGGCTTGAAGTATACTTGGGTTTTTCTCTTCGAGTGGAAGCGAGCTAAGTTTGCTAACCACCGGATAAGTGAACCATTTGCCAAATGTTCGGAGTATTTAGAACAGTCTGGTTATGGATGATGAAACGCGCACAATAGAAATAGTAGTTTCACTTCTCATCAAAATGGTTTCTAGTATTGGTTTGCATGTGGAAGAGGTACGTTTTGTTTTTTACGTTTGCGAGAATCCCCTTTTTGACACCAGGACGATCTGTTAGACACCAGCTGTAGTCTAGGGACGAAGCTCAGATTTGTTCTTCTGAAATGCATTTATCGCGCGAACCGCTATCAATGTACTTCTTAGTTTTCCAATTTTGCCCCAACAATCTCAAAGCTATGTTGCAATTAAACGTTTTGACAACACTAAATTTTCCCGATGTGTGAGTAAAGGCAACCGGGAGAAACGTTACTACATTTTGTAGGTATTATAGGTGAAACGGATCAGTGTGGTCACTAGAAGAGGACTCTTCACTCCTCACTTATCTTCCTGAAGGGTTTGAACTCTTTTTGGATTGTTTTATATTTTTGCATATCTGTTTTCCCCCTTTCGTCAAATTTTTTCTTTTCTGTACTACTGAAAATTAAGGAAGGAAAGACACCGGGATACTCACAGTATAGATACATATTGCAGGTCTTCACATCTCTCCGTCTTCAACATTTGGTATCATTATAGGTTCAGCCCGTTTCAGCACTTGTTTATTGCTCACAACTGGGAGCTCTGGTCCTCCCCATTTTCCAGCACTTGTTTATTGCTAACAACTGGGAGCTCTGGTCCTCCCCATTTTCCCGTGATGCCACCTTACACCTACAGTGTCAGATCACTATCTGGGCCGGACATGTTGACCTTGAGTGCACCAAGAGTTCCTGTGAGGATTACTTCATGTTATGAGTAGTTAAGGATTTAAATATCAGCGAAATTGAACATAAGTTTTTGAAGGTGCTTATACTATCCAGAGATGAAGTCGTCACTTACCGCAAGCCGTGCATCAAATTCAAAAACTCTTTTTTTGCACAGAAAGTAGGTGGTATCAATTGCATAACAGTATTTTCAGTTCTCACCATCCTTAAGTATAGTCTTCTTTGTTGTCTGAATCTTAATTGCTTACACCTGCGAAGACTACAGCGTTCTTTTACACTTTTTTAGTTTGATTCCCCATCTCATTCTTGGTCTTTTCGATTCTCTGCTTCTTTCAAATTGGCATTTCTACTTTTACTATTTCAGCCCTTGGGGGCCACATCGTTATGTAAACCCTAAACTTGCTCATATGAGAGTATACGGCGATACTATACATGAGTTGTAGTCAGTGGACCGAAGAGTCAAAGGTGATATTTTAAGGCATATGTCTGGAAGGTGAAGGTTTCTTTCTTTGATAACGGATGTAAGTTTTGAGTTGTCGATATTACCGTGAACCAAAGTCTAAATCAATTACTTTTGCACGCTTTCCTCACATGTTTTGCATATCTCATGTGGGATGTCACATGTACCTAGCTCAGCTGGAAACTAGGGAAGAGAGTGAAAACTAAGAAAACAATAAGTTGGTTGTATCTTTCAAACTATCAAAGTTAAAACTAACGAACCAAACGAAAGGATCGGAAATTAATAAGCTCCAGTAGATTATTTGAGCATTCAGGTCTTTGTTTAAACTTGGAAAACGCTTATTATAATTCCATACGAAAAGAGTTTATTTATTGAGTTCCATGTCATTGCAGATATCAGTCTCTGCGTCGTCTGGAGATATTTTCAGATTGTCATAGAACCAAAAATGTATACAAGATATGAATACCAAGGTAGCAATACATTAATGTTCGGATTGAACCACATATCATTCATGTTGTGAATCTTTACTAAATTACACAGATAAATCAAAAATTTCTACCTAACACAAAACGCTTCATAGTACCAAACAGATATCATTTTATCTCATGTCACCTTTCCCGAAGCTATGCAAATAAAATTCTTGTAATTATATAGATGTTCCGGAAACTATTCGACCATCATCATCATCCATGTTCCAAATAAAATTCTTGTAATTATATAGTTGTTTTTGGAACTATGCAACCATCATCCATGTTCCAAATAAAATTCTTGTAATTATATAGTTGTTTTTGCAACTATGCAACCATCATCCATGTTCCAAATAAAATTCTTGTAATTATATAGAAATTCCTGAAGCTATGCAACCATCATATTGGCACTATTGGACTAAAGTAGCGGCACAAGGGAGTCACTGAATTCCCTTATACCCTATCTTGAATGCTTCTAGTTACTCATGCCTCGAGTTGCACAGTTATTTTATAATATTACAAACACATGTCTCTTGTTGCGCAAGACAAAGATCATTGAACAAGTAAAATGTTTCAGTAGAAGAGAGACTTTTTTAGCAGAATGGAATATTGTGCCATCATTAGATGGTGTTCAGATTGTATAAGTACAATAGTCAAGAAGTGAAATCGACTTTGACGTTTGAGCAAGATGCTAAGCAAAGGAAATCAACTTTGACGTGGAGGAGAAAATGCCTTATCTTCTCGTCATTCATCATTGTGGAGTTTTGTTGGGCATTCAAGTATACCGGTAACAAACTCAAATGTTTAGCCAACATCTGATAGTCTTGGATTTTTATTCTTTCACACTTCTAGAACCAAATATTCTCAAGCGATTATAATCTGTCATCCGTTTATGCTTCAATTCAAACGGTGTTGAGAAATTGATTGCATTAGGTAAAATGTTTATCAAAAAATTGAAGTGTTGACAATTTTGACCCATAATTCTTCTTGTAAATTTGATTCACTCAACATACTCCATAACTTCTTCAACATTGCTTGTTTGAGTCTTTCAAAAACGACGTTTTGTTGTGGAGTATGAACCGTCGTAAAATGACAAGTAATTCCCTACTCTGTACAATACTTATAAAATTCCTCATTAGTATACTCGCCATCATTATCTGATCGCAAATATTTCATATTGTGTCTGGTTTAAATCTCAACTTGTATACGCCAACTTTTGAAGGTCGAAAGCACCTCAAACTTGTGAGTAAGAAAATATATCCATACATCCATGGAGTAATCATATGTAAAAGAGACATAGTATTGTTTTCCACAGAATGAGGTTACAGTAGAGGATCTCCACACGTCACTATGTACATATTTCAATATCTCCGTGGAACTATGAGTTCCAACGTCAAAAGCTTGCATATGTTGTTTTTCCATTATGCAATGTTCACAAAATGCCAAGTAAACTTTACTCAAATCCCGTAACACTTTTTTCTCATCAAGAAGGGACATGTTGAGATCATTCATATGATCTAAACTCGAATGCTATACATGAGACATCTCAACGTGAGATATGTTAAAGTGAACTTCTCTACATATAGTGATGATGTCTACCAAGTACAACTTATTACGCTTGTATACTCGAAGAATAACCTTCTTATCACATGATCTGACATCTAACACGTCTTCTCTAGAACTCCACTCTTAGCCGTGTGAATCCAACACTCCAAGAGAGATCAAGTTCTTTCTCATGTTAGGTATAAACCTAACATAGATTATAGTACGGTTGACAACATTAAATATGCGGATCTTTACAAATTCAACACCCTCAACTTACAGTTTTGGTCGTTTCTTATAAGAACTGAATCCTTTGATACGGAGAAAGTACAAAAGAACTCTCTAACGTAACAAATGTGAGAAGAACAAACACTATTCAAATTCCATACATCAGCAACAACTCTTGGTGAACTGCAGAGAGGATACCTCTAGCATCATAGGCCGTTTATGTACAAATCCTTTGTCTTGATATCAAGATGGTCTGCAACATTTGCGAATGAAGAGGAGATTGTACTTGTCATTCATCAAAACTTCATGATATGATATTTCTAACCACATACTCAAAAAATAATATTCTTCTTATCAAATGGTTGAGCCATAAACTAGACTCTCTTTCGTTCATAAGGTCTTGATTTCTACCTCTTCAATCCCGAACGCCGTGAATCGTTTGTATTCCTCGGTTGTGATTGACTTCAGATCATAATAAATGCTGTCCCAAGATTGCATGGGATGGAGTAGTATAACAATTTCTGCTCCACCGCGTTCGTCAGAAGTGCACTTACAATCTTGTTGTAAGTGAGTGTCGTGTTCTGACGATGAAGAAGAATCTTTGATAGCGTGTGATAGGTAGACGATATTGAGTGAAAAGATGCATTGACTTCTTGGTGTTAGAAAGCTACTTCTCCATATTCAGAAGATACATCTAAAACCATATTCCAAAGACATGAATATGTTCTTGGATTCTTGTGCCGGTCTTCATAGTGAATCATAGTGATCGCATGTAAGTGTTCACGACATTCGATGGATTTTTCTGATGGAACTGTTGCTGAAACACATCAAAAAAGTTTGACACTTCAAAATACTCTTCAACCTGCTTGAGTATGGAAGGGTCAAATTATGCAAACACCGTGCAAACTGCCTAGTCATGAGCAACATTTCATTCAATTTCACTTATGTTAAGAGATTTTTCTTCCAGGTATATTGTGAGATCCATGGGTCGTAACTTCACTTTTACCTGTTATTTTCAAAGCAAATAATCACTTTGGCTATCAAAAGATATTATCTTATACTCAAAACCGCCACCGATTAGTCGCTTTGCCAACTTTGCAAGTCGAAAAGGAGAAACAATAGTGGTTTTTGAGTCAATGTACTCCTTTTGAGTCATTGTTCAGCTCGTGAAAAATGTCCAAACGCACTATTTGCATCAAGAGCCTCCCAAAGATATCCAATTTGCATATACTTCGATAAAAAAATATTTTTAATAAATGTTTATGGCGGAATATTACTTCATCGTTGATATCCGCTGTCATCGTCACCGTTGCTCCCCTGTTGACTTTGTTGCACTGTCAATCACGGTTGATCCGCCACTTATGTTTGATCTCCCACCACGACTGCAACCACGTTAAGCCCGATCACAATTGCAACGGTGACCACGTTTAGTTCGACCTCGACTTCAACTCGTTCATTCTTACTACTGTGTTTGTGTCGACCACGATTGGGGATTTAGTGTTTGCGACTATCTCGCTCGCAACCTAGGGAGGTGGAAGGAGTCGCGTGCCGCTCGTTACCTTTAGAAGCCTTCCGACCTGCACAAAACATACATCACTTCCGGAAGAGAAGGTGACACGTGTTGTCGCAATATGAGAATATCACACCATGTGGTTGTCTCCGCACGGTGTGTTCTTGCATCAACTTGTCCTTGGGCACTTCCATGCTTGGTAATTTTGCTCGTTTCACCTCATAAGCTGCTTGTCTTTTATTAGT